GCACGAGGATATCAATAACATCCAAAGACAAAGTGTGTGAACAAGCGGCGAGACAACTTAAAAGCAGCAAGCTGCAAAGAAGACAAGCTGCAACCAGGGTGACCATATGCAAGTCCCTGTTGGGAGAAGCTTAGCCCGAAATCCCCGTACCTGACTCCAAAATCTTAGACCTGAACCTTAACTCTTAGCACGACAATGAGACCCAGGGCCGCTCGTCCAGCCGGACTTCCCATGGTCCTCAAGGGCCTGTATTGCGGTCTAGAGTCTGGGCTTTGGATTCAAGTTTTAAGGGTCTTATAAGGTTGCGAGGGTCTCTGTGAAGCTAGCATCTGGCTTGTTGCAAGACACTACGTGCGAAGAGTACTCGAGAGCAGACGCAGAGGCATCTATAGGTGGAGCTATTGAATTCGTGGAGGAGATGCGGTTGATTCACGAAGTCCAACGAAATCCAGCACGGCTTGAATGATATCAAAATCCAATTTTCACAGCCCGTCATACTTTGCACCTGTTGCAAGATTCCTCCACCTTGCGGGAGAGACGTGAGCTCAGGCCGTCCGGACTTATGTGAACCCAGAAGCCCATCCAAACTCCAAACGAGCTAAAGTCCTAAAGTTTCTTCACCCCAAGCCCCAAGAAGCGTCTGCATTGAACCCGTCTCAAAAATGCCTTGGCAATCAGGCAATCAAGTTACGGTATATGTCACCCCAAACGCCAGTCAAATGATTTGAGGCCTGTCTAGCTCCAGGCTCCTTGAACTTGTTTAGGGTTTAGGGTTTAGGGGTTTAGGGTTTAGGGTTTGCCTATTTCCTAAACCCAAGGGATCCACATTTCCCAAAGCCTTACCATGAGCTCGCCAGGTAGACCCTCCGCAGATGGCTGCGAAAGCCAAGGTGGCAGCTCCCTTTTAAAGAGATAAATATGGAAGGCTTCGGATTTATAGTGGAGATTCCCCAAAAGTTTAGTCCTTATCCTGGGGACTGCCTATCAGAAGGGACCCCTAGTTTTAGGAAACTCCGACATAGGCTTTAAGGTTTATAGGGCTGGGTCTGGGGGTAAGGGTTCATCTTCTGTTTGGGGGTATTTAAAAGTGTAGGGCCGTTTGGCAGAAGGACTTAGACATTGGATAAGATAGTCAAGTTGCATACCCAGAAGAACTCCAAGGGAACAGTTTTGACTGTCCAGGATCTCATGTTAACATGCAAGTTGGCCGCCCTCTTTCGGACATGGAGGCCGTCAAGCGCTATCCAGGGTTCTGGGGTAGATAAGCTCACAGAGATAGAAATTATTTACTTCGAGCATCCCCACCCAACAGCCGTTATTGCACAAGAAGTGTAATGTTTTCCTGCTTCCCTCAACTGTCCTCCTTGCAGCGCTGCAAATGCGCTGNNGCTTTGCTGTTGGGCACTCCAGGGTTAGTCTGCGCTTGGGCACTGCAGGGATACTTTTCGGTTGGACCCTGCAGGGATATTTGGTGGCTGGACATGGCAAGGATACTCTGCAGTTGGGCAATGCAAGGATACTTTGCAGTTGGGCACTGCAGGGATACTCTGCGGTTGGGTACTGCGAGGATACTTAGTTGTTGAGCACTGCAGGGATACTTTGTGCTTAGGCAGTGTCAGGATACCTTGCGGTTGGGCACTGCAGAGATACTTGGTGGTTGGGCACGGCAGGGATACTTGGTGGTTGGGCACTGCAGACAGAGATGCTTCCAGTCGGGCGAGGACAACATCTGCTTCAAAATCTAACAACCCCAGTGCGAGGGTGGGGAACAAAGCATTCAAGTTAAGGACAGGTGGGAATGTTCAAAGGCATTTATCTTCAAGTTGTTGAGAAGCGCAGCATTTAGGGAATTGCCCGACTTCATGCGATATGGGTCTATATGTTGCGGTTCGGGGAGAACCTACTCCATAGCAGTGGTCATCTTTTGTTAGGCTTGGCTTCCCACGCGTCCTGCGACAATCAGCAGCCCTTGGCCGAGCGGGAAGGAGCGCTCACAGTGATTTATCCCTTCATCAGCTCATGTCCAGTGCTTGTCTTTCCATTGCTTGTCTTGTTGCTGTAACTATGGCTTCGGCTATTGCTACTATAGGGTCTAAGAATTTTCCGGGTAAGCAGTTGATGTCCCCTGATATGTAGATAAACCTTACAAAGCCCTCGCTGCCCATAGATGCCTGCTTGTCTGCCATTTGAGCCTTGATAAGCCTTGTGTAGGGACGCTCACCAGCCCTTTTTCTGGAAACCGCCCCCATATAGGGTGAAGCTGTTTTTCCTTTGAGAGCTTCCTCAGCCGCACTCCAGGAAGCAGCAACCTTCCCATGAGACGCCTGTGCGCCTGGCGACATTGAGGGACTGAGGGCTCGCTAAGAGTGGAAAGATATTGGTTGGGAGGATTTGGGATGCAAAGGGTTTGGATCATCTTGAGCGTTTGAAGATTTGAGTTTTTGTGGCTTAGGTTTGAGGGTTTGTGTTTCAGGGTTGGGGTTGGGGTCTGCCTATGGGTGGCTGAGCTGAAGGATTTCTCACCTAAGTGGCAGACAGGGACTGGACCACACCTTGGAAGGACGCTGAGTGGATGATCCACCATGCATGCTTCTACCTAGGTTCATTGTTCCAGATATTGTTCCTCTCCGCTTTTCGCGGATGAAGCCTTGTCAAAATGCCCCTATGGCGTGAAAGGAGAGAGAGAGCGCGCGAGAGAGAGAGAGGGAGAGGGGGTGACTGCAAGGTCAGGAAGAAGAGAAATGGCAGACGGAAAATGGCGACGGAGGTGTTACAATGGCAACGGACGCAAGCTACAAAACAGGATGGGAATACTATTCGTGGAACAATTAGTGAAAGAGATGCAAGCTGAAAGGAGAAACAGTTCATCCGGGACCAGATCGAACAAAACTGAGACAATACGCTAACACTGGAAAGAGACAACGCACAGCACCGAGACAAAGAGTTTTCAAGGTTTTGAGGAAAAGGAGAGAAGTGAATTCAGCATGCCGTTTGGAACCCACCACATAAGCTGGTGGGGGACAAGCTTACCGAGACCCTAACGATCCAGCATGCAATGTGCACAACCTGAGTCCAAGGCAATTTAAGTTGGGTTATAGGAGGTTCTAGGTAGGGAAAGGACCCGAGGACGAGGGAAGCAGATAATTGACAATGCACAGGTGGGAGAAAAATTCAAGGCAAGACACTGTGAAGGCATAAATTCAAAAGTGCAAAGAGGTAGGAATTTCGAGGCATTGACAGGGATGTACAAAACTGTGTAGAGGAAGAACGCGTAGAGGAAGAGTAGCAAAGGGAAGCGATGTCACCAAAGCAGTGAGAAGCGAGGGGCAAACGGAGATTCAGTTGATGTCAGGGAATGGAGAACCTCTCTTTGCTAGCCTCTCCTCGGCTTTTATTTCTCCGACCATTTTCCCGCAAAGAGGTAGAAGCGCGTTGGATGGGGAACAGGGGCATACTTAAGATTCTGGGTTACGATCCAACGAACGCAGACGCCCTTCCAGCTAGACATATCGAATCGCGGGGCTGGAGGTTCGCCTCCGCGACACCTCCGGGTGTCGCATAGCCCGTAGAAGAAGAAGAAGAAGGGGGGCACCCCATTTCGCTCTGTGTGTAATTTGAGTTGTAATTGTAAACATTGTTTGAACCAGGGACACTTCAGAGAGGGCATACCTACTGCAGAGAACCGCGTGATTTGTTGGAAACTCCGTACCTTTTGTTCTTGTTCGACCAGATATGTGTCTGACAAAGTCTTCTGAAACCCAACGCTCGGGGCGGCCGATGGCCAACGGGGCGACCCAAAAGAGACCCCAAAATACTTTAATCCTTATCATGGGGACCCCCAAAGAGCTATCCTATTTTGGGAAGCCCAGAAAAAGCCCTGCTTTGCAAAGGGAGACTATCGATGCCTCCTGCCAGGCTGGCCAGCCCCCGGGGTCCTCGCCAGTTGGAGTACCTGGGGCGAGCCTTTGACGATGAGAGGCAGGCCTCCCCATTCCTTACTGGCTGCTTTGCTGGGTCGTCGTCTTGGCATAATTCCGAATCTGTTTGGCCCAACTTTTGTGCTGGAAGCACTTCTGGCTTACTTGCAGTGATCAACGGAAGGGACCTCAACAAGGTCTATGAACGGACCCTGGCTTTGACATTCACAGAGTTCTGTAGCACGAGGAAAGGATTACTTAATTTCAATCAAGATCCCACGAACAAGTTCCTTATCCAAAATAAGCCCTCTTGACGAAGAACTTCAAATAGCTTGAGGCGCAACATCGCCACTCCATCCGCCACGTTCTCTCTGGTCCACTCCCAAGATAGCTGATGCCATTCCATGCTTTTGTAGCCATGAAGGTTATACATATGCATTTATTTTGACAGGGTATAGTCCCTACTATTGGGACCCTCGATACGGTACCCCTAAATCTGGGCAACACTCCTCCCTATAAACCCCTACATAAACCCAGTTTCCATCTCATTTTCGATTTAATTCTCCATGATTGGGGTAATATCCCTAAGCAGCATGTCCAGAGGCTCCATATTACCTGCAGCCCAGAGAGCGGACCCAGAGCCAACCTCAAATAGGTGCAATGTGGTGCTGTAGGGGATGGACGGAATAATGGAAAAGACAATGGAAACTACTGTACTGTTGGAGAAGAAATCGGAAACTAGGGTATAGAGTACAGGCTTCAGGGACATTACCCCCAACTGTGGAGAATCCAGTGACAAATCAAATGGAACAAGCAATGGAAACTGGGGCTATGTAAGTGCAATCTGGTGCTGTGGTTCACATCGGGTTGTCATTCCTCGCAAATGAAGCCAAGGTTGCCACGATGGTGGGCCAGGGTCCTTGACATGCATTTTGCGATTGGGCAGCCTGTCCCAGTTATTGCCTGCACCCACCATAGCTAGTCTCCATGAACGCATGCAGAGCTTTCAGAGTGTGTTGTATTGTTGGCATTGGCCCAAGCATTTGAAGGCCACAAGGTGTCGAACCTACCCAGAGGCCAAGCATGCGGTACGTCATTTTGGCCCTCCTAGCCGCGTCCGCAAGAGCCGGCTGCACCGTTGAGAGCCAGACGTGCTACGTGGACAATGAGGCACGCATTCTTGGCCATGACAACGTGGCCATGGGCGCCATCACGCCGCAGTACTGCGCCCAGCTGTGTGCAAACGGGAAGTTTGCGCTGGCAGGCACTGAGTTTGGATCGGAGTGCTATTGTGGAAACAAGTTGAATACGCAGACGCCCCAGAAAGTCGAAAATTGCAGCACAGCCTGCAATGGGGATGGTAAACAGAAGTGTGGAGGCTTTTGGTCCATTGCAGTCTTCCAAGTCAATTGCAGTGGTGCGCCAGAGCCTCCACCCAAGGGCCCCCCCAAGCTGGTGAATCCTTGCCTGGGTGACACCAAGTTTTCCAAGATGCCTTTCTGCAATGTCTCCCTCGCCCTCGACGACCGCGTTGCGGATGCCGTGAAGCGCATGACATTACAAGAGAAGATTCCCAGGTTGGTCTTGAGAAGCAGCTTTTGAGGGACGTTCGGTGGTTGGCAAGATTAAAAAAACCCGTGCACTAAATCCAACTGGAGATCCCCTTTGTCTAACTGGCGAGTCATCTGCACCTTTTCATTTTCATGTATCGATGCCAACAAGGCCACGCATTTCGGACAGACTGTCCGGCTTGGCCCATCAGATATGGTAGGCTCAGGACACACGACCCACAACTGTTGCCATTATTGTGGTTCTATAGGTTCAGTCACCGTGAGCAGTGCTCCTTTTGTATCTGGATGCTGCTACTGTTCTTGCTGCAACCATTATCGTTGCTTTGTGGAGGTTACTCCCAGTGTTCCACAGACCAGTCAGATCCAGACCCTCTTTCTGAATTGAACCCTGCAAACTCTGCACGCCGTGAAGCATTGGACAAGTTACATCCTAAATCCTCCACCCTAAAACCCAACCCTAACCTCTAAACCCCAAGCCCCAGACCTTCCGCCGGATGAGGATCGGAGCTCTTGGGACCAGCACCCCCGCCATTCCTTCTCTGGGTCTCAACTCCTACAACTGGTGGTCCGAGGCATGCTGTGTGTTCGGGGAGGTTGTGTCACCGGGTCTTGTGGCTGGGGGTGAGTGGACAAGAAGGACGCGGTTGAATTCAAGCGGTAGGGCGAATTTGTGTTCGGGGGTTGAGGTATACATCGGGCTAGAGCGGGCTGGGTGCAGAAGTCCAAGGCGACGAGCGGCGTAGCGGACGCCGGCAATCTGCAAACCACCAAGCCTCTGGAGCTAATTTGAACAGTGGTTCTGTTGGTTGCTTCAAGTTTGAGTCTGTAGCTTCAGGGGACTAGGATACTAGGAGTTTAGACTACAGCAAATATGGTCAGTCTTCTGGTAGCAGCATGACAAGCCAGGTTCCCCTATCCGATCACCACTGGCATGAGCTTCAACCGAACCCTCTGGACGTTGGTGGGGCGTCAGATCGGCCGAGAGGTGTCACCTGAGAGTTTCTCACACAGTCCTCCACAGAATCCCCAGAATCCCTTAGGCATCCCACATATCCTGGGGTTCCCTAAAAGTAGATCCCATCTGAGAGATGATCAATATGGGAGTTGGGATCCCGCCTCCGGACGACACACAGGGCTCATTTGGAACAAGCAAGCTACAGCAACATCCAGGAAGGGGCCCTTGAAACCCTAAAAGCTCTAAGCAGACACAATCGAACCAAACCCACACCCTAAAGCCTTTCAAAAGGCACAGAGCCTGAAAGATCCTTGAGAAGCCCTCAAACCCCGTCCAGGCCCGGGCGGCTATGAATGCGGGTCAGGCCTACTCCAGCTTCTTGCCCACAGTTTTGGTTCAGGGACTGTTGGTTTAGGGTTTAGGGTTGCTACGGTGAATAATGTTGGGGCCCCTAGAGGCCCCCATTGCCCTACCCCAAACTAAGCATCAGTGAGGCTTCTGGACGCCGGTCATCAACCTCGCAAGGGCAGCTTGTCTGCGTTTGATCGCGGAGACTGTCTTTACACGGACCATTTCTGTAAAGAAAGTAGAGGGATCAGGATCAGTTCAGCTGTTGGGATATAGAACGAGACCCTGATGTTGAGAAGTACGCAGAGGCAAAGGGTAACGGTTTCGGAGCAAGGTCTAGAGACTGGAGTTCGTGTGGAAGGTTTTCTGTGGGCAAGCATGTCTCATAAACTCGCTGCACATCTGGTATCATCGTGCCGTGGCAAATGCTGCTGCGACGGTGCTGTCGCTTTTTGGTCCTGGTGGGTGGGGTGATCTGCGCAGGGCCAAAGTGCGTGGGGCACGGCATTGTAAAGCCATGACTATGGCTTTTGATGCCGCGGTCAGCCGCAGAATGAAGAATATAGTAAAGGCTGGCAGGGGCTGGGAGGAGGAGCAGGAGGGAATTATTTGAAGAAGTCCTGCATTTGGATAGAGCGTTGGCCGACCAATGGTGAGTACATCAGGCTAGAATCTAGCTTAATCAGTTCAGAACACCACGAGCTCCCCAAAAGAGTTTCCAACAGGTTTATGCTTCCAAAGGCTAACAGGGAGAACCCAACAGCGCGAACCCTCCACCCCAAGGAGCCCAGATGGGGTCGCAACATCGAGACCCCAGGGGAGGATCCCTATCTCACGGGCGCGTATGCAGAGAATTTCGTGCGGGGCTTCTCAGCCAGCCAATTTAAGGAAGAGTGTTGGATTTCTGGTACCTTTTGGCGAGGCCTTTTGAGGAATCTAGCTGATGTCTGTCCCCTTGTGTAAGTGGCAAACCAAGGCTTCCAGGAGGCCCCTGAGGACCCCTATCACATCCAGGCCTGGGCCGATACATTTTGTTGGTTTTTTGACCCTGAGCCTCGAGCAGGCCAGCGCTTGCTGCAAGCACTACGTGGCAAACGAGATGGAGGGCACCACGCAGAAGGATGGAGAGCACCTTGGGTGCTCACTGCATTGGGTTTTAGGGTCATGTAGACAGTTGCAGTGTTTTCTGCCTTTGCACAACGTAGTTGTGCGAGAAGCTTCGGATAATACTCAGTCATATTGCTAACTACTACGGCTGCCAAAGCAACGAGGGGACTTCTTGCTAGGGTTGCGGGGATATGGGTTGTTGGTAAGATGAATTGTTGCGGCGCCAGCTAAAAGGCAGACAAGTTTCTGAGGCTCAACACGGGACATTACAAGCCGAAAAAAACCCAACTGCGCACACAGGCGCACACTGGAAGTAGGAAGCTGCGATCATGACATGTTTGGGTGTCAAGGTACTAGAAAGATAGCAAGAGAACTCATATGAATGGCAACGCCTTGCCAACGATGATCAACACTTTGGAACAACAGGAACGAATACCGGGACCAAACTAAGGATGATATCATGGATAGTCTATCCTATGCCCCTCAACATGCGAAGCCTGAATCATGGGCCCAACTTCCCCGAAGCGATGTCATAACAAAAGCTAAGCGGGAATGCTCACAAGCATACAGAAGGTTATAGCAGTACCTAGCATTTGATGAAGAACATCCGTGATTACAACAAGCAGTGACCACACGTCAGAACAGCCCCCAAACATGCGCCAACACCATGCATTCCCCCCATTCGACTATGACAATCATTTCGAAGTGTCTGTTATTAGGTGGTGGGTGCTTTCATTTTTTCAGGATACTACGGTTGAAGCAAGGCATCTTGCACCACTTCAGGTCCCCGCAATACTGTCATTTATGGGATATATATCTATATATAGGCAACTCAGGGTCATGTAGAATTTCTTCCATCAACAAACAGCAACAGAAGTAGCTGTAGCAGTAGCACAATAGTATACACTAGCAATGCAAGCAGCACTACCCAGGCACCAGGACAGGCAGCACGTGGACTCGGAGGTTTCGATGCAGGTGGCCTGGGTCATGTTTCAGGTATAGTCCACCTTAAGTAGATAGAATATGCGGTATATCGGGATCTTAGTATAATAGTACCCAAAGACAGATTCTATCTACTTAAGGGGACTAATAGATTTAGGGTTTAGGGCTTAGGGGGCAGTACAGACCCAAAAGGTCTTTCAGTTCCCTTATGGCTCCCTTCTAGGGATCCTTCTTGGGGGATCTCTCCTGTTTGAAAGTTCTCCGGGATTTCACTAGCACGAGGACCAAGCTTCTAACAGCATCCCAAAAAGGACTGAAACCAGCGGGGAGTGGGGAATGAAGGCATGGAATGCTACAACTGTTATTGGGTAGCGCTCCTGGATTTTTATGGGGATCCATTCCTCCATTCCCTGTGCACCAGCCACATCGGCGCAGGGTCCAAGTCCACAGATGAGTGCTGAATGATTTTGGGCTACAGGGGTACGCATTCCAGGATTTTTCGTAAGGCAAAAGGGGTGGGCAGATCAAAGCAGACATGAAGAATTCTGTGTGTCAATTTGGGGATCCCATAGGTGGCTAAATGGCAAGGAAGATTTCGACAGAATGCCTAGTCGTGCTCGACTTTGAAGTAGGGTGTACCTACTGGACTCAGCGATGCAGTTTGGAGCATCATCTTCTAGACGAGTTTCGCAGCAATACAGTACCGACATGTTCAGGTTTGAGGGATTAGGCATGGACAGTAGCATACGTTCGGGATGGGTAGGCAGGTGACACATTGTGATTGATCAGGACCTCGTCGACTCCTACATGCGCCCCTTCCAGACCTGTGTGGAGAAGGGCCGGGTGACATCCCTGATGTGCAGCTACAACGCCGTCAACGGAGTACCCTCTTGTGCAAACGACTGGTTGCTGCAGACTGTTGCTAGGGACAACTGGGGCTTCGATGGCTACATCACCAGCGACTGCGATGCTGACTCAGATGTCTTCAATTCGCATCACTACACTGCAACAGCCGAGGAGGCTGTAAAGGAAGTGCTCCATGCCGGCACGGATGTTGACTGTGTATCCTTTGTACCTCAGCATGCGCAGTCTGCCCTGGACAAGCATCTTATTTCGGAGGCCGACATTGACGCACGTTTGAAGATGCTCTTTCGGGTTCGTATGCGACTTTCCCATTTTGATCCGCGAGGACCGCTGAACAGCATCTCCACTACTGAGATTTGCAGCGACTACGCTGTGCAGCTGTCGCAGGATGCAGTTCGCCAGAGCGCAGTCTTGATTAAGAATGTGCACAACACGCTTCCGTTGGACCGCACGAAGGTGGGCACGGTTGCTGTCATCGGGCCGAACATCGATGCTTTCCACGGTGATACCCATTACTATGGCCCAAAGCATCCGTGTGGGAATCGCTTCTGGACCCTCGTAGATGCCTTGAGCAATGGAGGGCAGGTGAAGACCGTCAGCGCACCCGGGGTACCGACTGCTTTGTCTGAAGACCAAAGTGGCATCCCAGATGCTGTCAAGCTGGCTCAAAGTGCCGACACAGTAGTCTTGGCTGTGGGAACCGACTTGAAGTGGGCAGGAGAGGGCCACGATGCCACTAATATTTCTTTCACGACGGCCCAGAGTGTGCTGATCGAGAAAGTTGCGGAAGCAGCCAAGAAGCCGGTCATCCTTGTGTCGCTGACCGCGGTGCCCCTAGACTTGTCTGCCATGCTGGCGAATTCCAAGATTGGTGCCGTGCTGCACTTGGGCCAGCCAACCGTTGCCATCCCCGGTGTTGCACCCATCATCTACGGTGAGAGCTCACCTGCGGGACGGACCATCCAAACTGTCTACGAGTCATCATACCAGGATCAGATTTCAATATTTGATTTTGGGATGCGCCCGGGTCCTTCCAAGTTTGCGCGGCCGGACTGCACCGACCACAACGTGAGCAGATGTCCCAAAGGCACCTTGGTCAACCTTGGTCAATGTATGCAGTTTTACAGCTTTCTGCAGCCCTCTGATCGTTCTTTAATTCTGGCGGTCATTCAAAGGTGTAGCTTCTTCGTGCATGAGATGTGCATACTGTGCATGTATCGTGTGCCGCCTAGAATATGTACGTGGATGCGGTTGTAAACCCCGGCCTATTGAAGCAAGACCAAGGGCGGCATTAGGGTTGTGCAAAGGGTTTCAACAACCCATACGTGCAAGCTCGCGCAAGGTCGGGCGCAAGAACACATAATTCCTCATGCATGTTGATTATGCCTGTGTGTATACCCTTTGTTGAAATGCCTTCAAATGCCCACAGGCAAAAGACGGCGCAAGGGTGGGCGCCAACCCCTGACGCCCTATATGTATATATATATATATAGATAGATAGATCGGTAGATAGATAGATAGTGTGTGGGTGCGTATACGTGTAGGTAACTTGGTATGTATGATGGGATTGTAAACCATGGACACTTTGCGAATGTGCCTGAAGATGGCTCAGGCACCAATCCGGGCAGGACGTGTCTGGATGAAGGTCAGGACATCTTTTTTGATATTATTGTTCAAATGTTCCGGAGCTTTAAAGAAGAGCAAACTTGCCTGGTTTGATACAAGCCCTAGGAAACCGTACTGTCGACAATCCTGAACATAATGTGTGATCCAGGTATCGGTTCTACACGGGCAAGCCCGTCGTACCTTTCGGCTTCGGTCTGTCCTACACCAGCTTCAGCATCTTGCCTCAAGAGACAGTTGCACGGGTGGCTCCCCTAGATACTGAGTCGCACTGCACGTCTCCGAAGTAGGACCTTTCACAGATGCTGCGGGATGGCACTTGTATGCACTTGTTATCCTACTTGCTTTGCCTTTGCGGCTCGCCATGAAGAGCGACATGTAGACTCGAAGCTCTAAAGCCGAATGCAGTCTGACTGGGTGCAGAATGAGGTTACTCCATTGTGAAGCAGCCGTCCACACTGTCGCTGGATGCCTTGCAAGGCACAGAAGCCGACAAAAGCAGGGAGGGTCCACAAAGTCTGTGAAATGGAAAGCAACAAGAGGATCAACATGCCTCTGTGCTAGCAAGACGGCATGAGCTCGGTTGGCATACTCGTCATAGTATGCTTAGCAAATGCTTTATTCAGCTTAGTTCTGGCAAGAGAAGTATATTCGAAGTGTACAGTGGCAAGAAGGCGTTTCAGCAAAAAGAGAAGATGCCTTGATCTACAACAATGACGGCTTCTGAAACCTGAAAGAACTGGCCCCAAATGACATATGCACCAAAGTTCTTCCTTCAGTTGCAGAGACCAGGGTAGAGGGCCAACGGGAGGCCTGCTGAACAAGCTCTACGGCCCCAGCAACGTCTTCCCTCGGGGTGCTGACGTGGAAGCTGCCATGGTAGGCATCTCTTGGTCCTCTATGGCAGAGTTCGCGTCTTGCTTGCAGATAATGGTGATGAGAGGGACTGTAATTAGTAGTAGTAGTAGTAGTAGTAATTAGTTGCAATAGTAAAGGTAGTAGTAATAGTAATAGCAATAGTAATAGCAATAGTAATGGTAATGGTAGTACTAATTGGAATTGTTATAGCTGTGCCAGCATCCAGTTGGGTCGTAGTTGGGTGTTTAATTTTGCTTCTACACTACATATGTTCTTGCAGAAAGCACCCGCAACTGTTTCCTGCTGATGAGGTGGTGAAGGTTACCAACACGGGGAGCAGAGATGCTGATGATGTCGTCCTCGGTTTCCTCACACCGCCGTCAGCTGGCAAAGACGGGGTTCCTGTGAAGGTCCTCTTCGGGTTCCAGCGAGTTCATGTGAAGGCAGGTGCTAGTGCAACAGTCACGTTGTACCCGTCCCTCATGGACTTCACGCGAGTAGCATTGGATGGACAGTTTAGTGTTCATTCCGGCGAGTACGGTGTCCACTTTGGCGTAGTTGAGTCTCATGCCTTTGGCATGGGCTACGTCGAAGGGGCGCCAATTTCAGCCACGCAGTCTTCAATTAAATATTATGTGTAGTGTGGTCAGCCACAACAGCGAGTGTAACAGCTGCTGCTGCAGCAACAAGTTATACCCGAGCTGTTGCAGCTTCCGACCATATAGGCAGGGAGCTTTGTCCAGATCTAGGTCCACTGCTTGACATGCGTGCCGGGCTGCCAATTGGGTGCCCAGTTGCCGGCAAGTAAGGAGAAACGGAATAGGAATGGAATAGGGAAGTGTCAGCAGCATGGAGGCTGCCGCGGGTTTTTCGGCTGCGTCACAAATCTGAACCCCCCCCCGTGGGCGGCTCGAGGGTCTTAACGGCTGCGAAGCAATATACCCAAGCACATCTTGGTCAGGGCAGGTCATTCCCATCTTTTAGAAGGCTTGCGTGGGATTGGTTCAAACTTCCCCCCAAACACTCTGGTGAGATGTTTGATGGTACTCTCAGAGCCGATAACTTTGAGAAGCCATTCCAGCAAATCACACAGACCGCACATAATTTTCCTGTTTCCTTTAACACCAGATACGTTCTTCATCATGGATTTCCCTGTCTCATCCAACATCCTAGGTGAGCAATGATTCCAAGCGACCCCTCAAATTGCGAAACATAGTCGCCCAGCCTTGGCTAGTTGACAGGATAGATTCAGACTAGTTTGAAGACGCTTTTCCTGTCATGCTGATCGCTGTGCGGGTGTCTGCCTAACACCCTATGAACTGGCAAAGGCCGGTACAGAGCAACTCTACAATACGAGCTTATCAGACCATTGTTAGAAATCTTCCTGCACACCTGGGAAACAGAGTCCACATTCTTCAAATTGAATGGCTTGGGGCAATACCCAGGCGGTGGCGTTCTCTCTCTGCCTTTTGCCATGAGCCAGTTCGGATCCCGGGGGTTCAGCGGCCTGTGTTCCAGCTCAAGGAATCTGAGCAAGGTTCATTGACCGCAAAGCTTATGTCGAGCTCTTTCTGGTTTTCATCCGTAGGACGTTACAAAAGCAAAACGTATTCAGAGTGTGGCTTGCAGGGGTAGAAACTGCAGTTGCATGGGTGTTGAGCGGGGACAACGTGACTTGTGAGTCAGGTTCTGCATCACCATTAGCACAGCTTCCGTGTCCACGGGCCGTTTGGACTGTGGGGTCAGAGTGAGAACTTCTGATTGTCCCCATCAATTTGGCAAGCAGGCAGCGGGTACTTGACCAGGGTTTCCACCGGTGGTGACGAATTTAATTGAAGATCATCCAGGATGATACTACCCCGTGCTGCCACAGGACCACTACCCAAAAACGCTGTTTTTCCAGAAGGCAGGATCGTTGTCGTGGGCACACCATGGCACACACCCAGAAAAGGGCGCAAATTTTGAGAACCGCCGCGCGTTCAACAACGGAATTATGACCCAAACTGAGGTGTGGCCTTGTGCTGGGCACCATCTGCTTGTTGCTTTCTGCGGTGGCAAGCGTCAGAAGCCTAGTGCTAGAAGTGTTCATGCGACTCTTTCGTGCTCAGGCTTTTGGTGACATCAACTTCGCGCTTGAAAACGGTGGGGTAGGTCCTTTGAGAAGTCTGCATCTTGAGTCCTGGCAGCTCTCACTTTCCAACTCCGAGTCTGCTGCCGCTTCGTTGCTTCGTTAGGCTCAACATGGACTTGACTACGCAATTCAGTCATTCCCTTGCTGCCTGCGGCGTTGGAAGCAAAAGTGAACTCCAAGCATCTAGGAGCCAAGGGGTCCATTACACAGAGGAGAAGCACGATCCGGTGCACAACGCACTCACGCACTCTGAGTGTTCTGCTTGGTGAAGTTCGAGCTGTGAAGCATGTGACGATATCACAAGTTATGCTCGGATTGGGGTGATTGACGCCCTGCGGGATGTAATGAGCAGCACAACGTTGCGCAATTTTCGCATCCGCTGGCTGAGGCATGGACGCTTTCTATGCTGGTGGACTGTGCCCGAGCAACAGGCAGTGAATAGAAGCGACTGCGTTCATGAGCACATGCAAATACGTCTGAAAACGGGGGTGCCTTACTTACTTCTTCCCAACCTCAGGCACTGCACAATAGTTTTCCATACCTGCTGGCACGTACCCTCTCTGGAATTGGCCCATGAATTAGGTTGTTGATTTAGGAGCTGTACTCGCCTCTTGATGCCGTGGCTGTCGATTCATTTGCCGCTGTCGTGCCTTGGCGTCATCCTGTACCCGGAAGGTCGAGATAGCTTTGAGCTCGTGGGCCACGCTGCCTTCGGGGATGTCAGTCAAAAGGTGCTCCTGCAATTCATGACTGCGATATGCTCAGAGGGCATGTGGGATAGATACTTCCTACTGCAGGGAAGGGGGTTGCTGTTTCTCTTTCTTCGCAGGCGACGATCGCTTGGCACTGAGCTTGTAGAATGGGCGTCACTTTGGACTGATGCTACCGCGCTGGCACTCCCATACCTTGCGGAGGTTCTGACTAGCCAAGATCATATTCTGCTGGGGTAAGTATATCATGGAACCCCCCTTCTTTTGAAGATCTGTCCATGCCAAGGGCCTGGTCTTCATGATCTGCTGGCTCACAAAGATTGCCTACTTCGTCCTGTTGACAGACCTCCTGGTCAGGAGCCCGGCCGACTGAAGGCCCTTCAAAAGGCTTTGGGGTTCGCTTCACAGCTGGGATGTGGTTATCAGCCATGCTTAGGAACCCTTTTTCTTAAGGACCGCCCGACACACCAAGAAGCACCTATCTTCCCATCGCAAACATGCAATTTAGAGTTTTTCTCAATATCATAACCCCGTTTTGTCCCCCCAATATGGCATCCTTGCTATGGCCATCCCATGCAGAAAGACCTTTTTGCATGCCCTAATCTGAGGGCTTCCAAAAGTTGAGGCCTTTTTAGCAAGTGCCTCCAATTCGGATCATGGCACATTGGTTTATGTTGGGACCCCGCACTCATCGAAAAGCCCATCTCACAATGCGGTGCGCGTTTTGACGGTAAGGTGCCAGTAGCGGAGCTCGCCGCGTGGGCGTCCCAGACATCTTCTGGGTATAGGGTTTACTTCTATCGCTTCAGGAATTATCTCCATTGTTTTTTGGTAGTATATCCCCAAGGAACTATTGAAAACGCGTTTTTAGAGGTCTAGGGGATTGCACTTTAAGGTAGGTTGTCGGCATAACGAACCCTCCTTGCATGCCCCTTTTAATGGTGCATTACCGGACCAAGGGTTTTTAGCAACGAAGAGCGGGCCTCAATTGCTGAAAGCTACCCATGTGCAGATATCTACCATCCATAACAGGGGGATAAGTTACTAAATACTTGATGGTGTTGAGCACCTACAGTATACGGCTAGAGCCTTGGGTCGCTTGTTGGGGCAGTCTGTACAGCACGGATGATTGTTGGGATGCATAAGGGGGGCCTTGATGCAATCGGACATTCACTCATGACAAGGTTAAGAGCACTTCCAGTACCGTGGTGACAATCAGTCAGCAGAAATTCCCTCCTCATTGCATAACTCACGTCACGGCTCGTTTTGCGAATATCCTATGACCGCAAAATCCCTCAGACTCCCCATTTGTGCCCCAATGTGGAGGCATCCCAAGAACGGATTCAAGGGACCCTACTTGTTGGAAACCTCTGTAGTATTTCCCATGTAGTTCCCAATAAAACTTGGTAGCTTCCATTCTCTTGCCCATTCCTTCCTGCCCTACTTACCGCCAGCAGGTACATCCTAAATTCTGAGCCCTAAGCCCCACACATACCCTCAAACGTCTAGCTTCCGTGTCATTTGCAATTTGAGCCTCCATTCCCTACTAACCACCCCAAACCCACCATAGTAGGTTCCCTTTCCTTTTCCATCAAGCCTACAGGGTAGTTTCCTAAATCAGGGGGACACCAATATTACTACAGTCTTCACTATGGGGACCCCCCAAAAAGGACCCGTATTTGTAGGAAACCCCCACATCTCCCCTATGTTCCCGCAGAGACAACGTCAATGCCTTGACTGCCAAGACCGAGCTTGAAGACTTCCTACACACCCGAGACGACTAGACGGATCGTTGGAGACCCTGCTTTCACTGGTTCTTAGCAGGGAATAAGGGAATATAATATCAAAATAGGTAATATATGTATATATATATATATCTTTGTTTCTTTATTTATTTATTTATTTATTTATTTTGCATGGCCCAGGGATTGTATTCCCTCATCCCATACTAGGAACCAGTAAGTTGAACAAGTTGCAAGGGTCCCAGTACAAGGGCTTAGGGGAGCTATGATATGCAGGGTTCAGGGTTTCCAAAAATTAAGCGCCCCTGCCTGGGAGTCCCAGCATAGCAGTTTTTTTTGGGGGGGTTGGTGCCATCTACTTATGGGAGTTTCTGAAAAATTGCAGAACTATCAGTATACCACGGATGGTTACTAATTTCCCTCATTGCTGTACAATAGAGCGGCTTACTCATGTGTAAATCTGGGGGCTGCGAAGTACCACGCAGCACGTCCATGTAGAAGAAGGATCTGTTTTGATGTCTTTGATCCAACTAGGAAAGAGTTTCTTATTTGGGAAGCATGATTCCTCTTCTGCTACATTCTGAAATTTGTAGCCGTGCAGAAGCATATGCTCAAATCAGCCAACATAGAGGCATTCAACATGTCGACATTTCCTTGTTCATAGCTACTTGTACCGTGGCTGATGTTGCTTTCATATATTTATCACAAGGTCGCAAGCGTCATGCGATGCGAGACACCCCAAGCAGGATGAGATCTCCAAGCTAGGGTCCCTAAGCTGGTATTCGGACTACAGATCAGCTGCTTGCTTCATTGGCAGAGATTCCAGGTGGTTTGCATTGCCGCCCTGTTCCTGTCGCCTATGTGCTTCAAGAGAACCTCAGCAGCAGCATAAGGTTTTCTCAGAGGCAGGGATTTGTGGGGTACAATTCTCGCAATCTTCGGGTTCTCATTTTTAAGAGCAAGCATCATGAGAATGTGTCCTGCGCCCTGCTGGTGGACAGTCGACCTTTAGCCTCATATCGGTTGATCAGGGGTTTACTTGCACCTGAGCATCCAGGATGAAGATGACATTCTGACAGGTGTCGCTACAAAATCTACAAAGGGGCATCCTATATTGGAGGGCTCGGTTTCGCCTGTCTCTGTCAATATTTGAAGGCACGGCTCAGTCCACAGAACGCTGCGCAGCTGCTCTAATGGGAACCAAGCCAGGGGTGTCGGGTCCTGATGCGCACTCATTGAACATGTGGAGTTGTTATCAGAAGGGCCTCCCGCAAAAAGAGGGCCTACTTCATCCAAAATACTTCCTGCGTTGTCCCCAAAAGTCGTTTCTATGTCCTATGTGTTGGGTATACTTTCATCAACCTGTGATTCTTTGAGCTGAGGCAGCCTCTCCGCCTTGCGCTTCATGTGCTTCGCTAGCGTCTCCAGCGCTCGGAAGCCCAGCAACTGTAGCAGCGTCAGTGGTTGTAAAGTAGGAGGGGTTCCCTGCATTGATTCTCTCCACATTTGAATACAACTACACATGGCCCTCCAAAACACAAGGTAGGGCCAGCAGTGCCCTAAAACAGACCTAGGACAGATCTAAGGCGACTTAAGCAAAAGGCCAATGCCTACTACTGCCCCTACAGTAATTACCTGGTGTTTAGGTGCCGCCCCCGCAGACCCCTACGGTAGGTGGTGGTCGTGGGCGCCGTGGTTGGCTACAGGGCCTTTGAGAACCTGGGGCACGAGCATTCCATCCAGGCGGCTTAGGGGTCAGAACGTAGGGTTCAGGATAGGATTCAGGATTAAGGTTTTCGGAGCGTTTGTTGCGGTCTCTTGCTCAGAAGATGCAATTTGCACTGGAAAGCCCAGAAAATTACTCAGCAGGTTTTGAGTCTTTCTTTGAGTGTCGGGGGTTGAGGACCTGAAGAAACTTGGAAACTTATAAAGGCCACTTCATAGGTATTGTAGTATCTTGGCGGGACGCTTTTGGCGTTCATGTTCGTTTGGGGAAGCTTCAGCTAGGGCTGTTAGCCGTGCCCAGGTAGTCACGCTTAGATGCCCTATAGAGTATGAAGTGTGGCTTCTCGCGTTCTTGTTAGAGAACTTGATATCTAGTCAGAGTAATGGGACCATAGTGTTGAGAGACACTGATGTCTCTTTAATGCTAGCTTCTCGCCTGCAAGTAGGTACAGCTGCCGACCCATCTGAGCAGGATGGTCCAGGTGCCGTGGGTTGCTCCGGGGTTTTGGGCATGCTGCATCCGGAGATTCCCTCAAACTAAGGGTGCCATTTAAAATTTCTTGGCGGCCCCTATGATGAGGACTATAGTATATTGGGGTCTATATTGGGATCCCCATATTTAGGGAGACTACCATTTAGGTGTTGTGGAAGAAGGGCCCCAGCAGTTCGACATGGGATTGCAGGGTGGTGTTTGTGTTGAGACGCGGCGGGATGCATTGGGCCTCTGGGTACTTGCACAGCAAGCATCTCAAGGCCCCCTGATCATTTCCCAAAATACCAGGACTCGGAATCTTAGGTTGAACAAGAGGTAGGGGTCACGGACCTTTTGCCTGTCATTTTGCTAATGGTTTTGTTGGTTCTCTATAGTCCATATGAGCTACCGTCTGAACTCCTAGCATCCCCCTAGTAACCCCTACAATACTCCCCCCTATCCTTTATAACCCCTTTCTTTTGGCAGTTTAGACTGTAGTACATATCACTGTCCATGTACGGAGACCCTTCTTCTCAAGTGGATGCGAAGCAACTGACCAAGCGAACACACAGCCCCATGCATGCCTGATTCTGTGCAGGTGATGCCGAACTACAATTTGTGGCCAGATGACTGGGCTGCTCAGAGACAATTCTGGATGTAAGCATCTCTGAAAACAGAGGTCCTACATGTCCTAAATAAAGTAGTTGAATGAATCCTGGGGAAGGGGGCTCCCAAAGTGGGGGCCCCCAATGTTTGGGAAACGCCCATGTTGAAGTTCGGTTGGGGAAGTGCCATCCCTCGTGGTGCAGGTGCCTTCCAAAACTCTTACTTAATCACTCCTATAAGACTCCCGTAGAAGATCCCCTACATAACCCCCTTGAAGGAGTTTAGACTACAGAACTCCTTCTTTGCAAAGGCATGGCCATAAATCACATGTTCAACACCTGTTGCCTGCAGGCCAGGGCTCAAGGCTTAAGGTCTTCCATGGGTTCTGTGTCATCAGATGGCAGTTTCCCAAAATAAGGGGACCCCAATGTAGACTCCAATAGATCATAATCCTGATTATGGTACCGCTGATTTTGGGAAACCTCCCAGATAAGCAAACCCAGCTTTGAAATACCCATCCCAAGAGGGGAAACCGTGCCTCTGAGATCCAGAGGAAGCCGGTTTCCTTTGTGGAAGGGACACTTCCGAGGAATGCCAATGACCTTGACACGACCTGGCTTAAATCTAGCCGCTGAAGCTTCCCCAAAACTACATACCTTCGGGATTTTTTAGTATTATCATGATGGTAAGGAAAATTTTTAGGGTATATAAGCTTATGCGGGAGTTGGTCATCCACACTACTTTTCAGCCGGAGGTGCTCAGCTCCGGCTTATTTGGGGAGGTAATGTCCTCAGAAACCACTTGACATCCGTCAGCTCGGAACGGTCAGAACGCAACGCCATTGAGTTCAAACCTTCTCAAGGCCCTGATGGCAACTGTGCTGAGGACTTTCGGTTCAAAAAGTCAGGCGGACAAGAAATTGGAAGCCTCAACCTTGTGCCACACGGAACAACCATCAGACTTCGGGTTTTACGCTGCGGGAGACCTCTTCTTTTGCAGGACCCGATGTAGACAGCTTTCCCTGCCCTTGTATTACTTAGTCTGTTCACGTAATCCTTTACGTGAAGCATGCCTTGAAGCCCCTCCCTGACTGGGTAGTATGAGAGGCCCCATGTTTGCAAGCACATAACTGTCACCGGTTTGACATCATTTTGGGGTGCATGGAGCGCCCTGCTTGAGGGCTCCGCGGGCATTGCCCGTAGGTTATAAAGAGGGTTTCAAGCAGACAAACTCCAATTTGAGCACTTCTAACCCCACTTGTCAACCCCAATTACTGAGTCCCGCGAGTCTTCAAGTCATCTAAAGAGGGGGCATTCATCTTGACAACCACCCTGACAATCCCTCGAAAATACTTGCATACTCCTGCTTAACCCTGATCCTTGAACCTTTAAAAGGGACCCAGCATCCGACTGTTAAACAATCAACCATGTACAAATCTTGTATGCCAGACGGCTTGAATTACAAGGCGCAGGCTCTCTACGCATTTCCCATCTTTGGGGTCTCCTTTCTGTGCCTCAACTGACTCAAGTGGGAACTTCAAGCGGAGAGGAAGAGAAGGATTCCCGAACAGTGAAAACTGAAGTGGGGGATCACAAAGGCAAATTGCTTTCATCTTCGGAGAAGTATGATAGCCATAGTAAAGGCAATGATGACACTGCACATGCCGCATGGTGATAGAGGGGCTACGCCTTGTTTCTTTGGATTGGCGGTGAAAATCGTACTGTTCTGTTCATTGTTCCGGTTGTATACCTTGAGTGGATGGGGCCATGACCGCACCTTTGTCAGAGGTATACTTAGAGACTATAGTTGCAAAGGCTTGCTAAGACCCCACGACCATCTGCATGTTTTCCATGAATTGCTCGCACGCACACGAGGTTCACGCAGTGCTCGCATCAGGGCAGTGGGGCTAATTTGAGCTTGTGCGAGGTCCCCGTTGGCCTCCTGTAAGCTGACCCACCGGATAATTACTCACCCGGAAGTGTTGTTTGCCAGCAGCCGACACCTCAAGATCCTAATAACTCGGCTAGGAAGCTTGCAGCAAACTCTTCCTTGAGGCAAGACATAGAATTGGCTTGACAGGCTGTGTCCCTGATGAGAGCTCAGAAAGGAACCTTTTCTCTTGCAGGCATACAGAATCTTGCAGCCACACCAGCCTAGAAGCCTTTCTCTGCCTATGAATCTTATGAATCCTATGGAAAATCCCTTCAGCTTAGATTTCCCCATAGCCTCTCCCCAAAATCGTTAAAGTGTCGTAGTTTCAGCAGGAACTGTTCTGGGATCTCCCACATTGATGGCCCCCTTCGGATACTTATGATTCACAGCAGGCTGTATGGGGGCTATGTGAGGTTTCAAATTTTGAGGAGAACCGAGCTGAGGTGCCACTTCAATGCGCTGCCGACGCATCAAGAACTGGCCCGGCCGACACGTCACCGCCCTTGGCTTGTTGTTGAAGAACATTTTGCTTGTCTGTGTATAATGGAACGCAACTGCAGAATGAACATAGATCATGCCAAGTAGGGCCTTGAGCATATCCCAGGCATGAGAAGGGTGATCCTGGTCACTCTGACACTGACCTCAGCCCCTGGGAATTTTACTCAACGTGCATATTTCTCAAAATTTTGGATGCCTATTGGGAGTCAGATGTGACAGACGCACGTTCTCGCGTATGCAATTAGGATCTCGATTCTAAGAAAGGTCCGCATTGTTGAGCATTCTTGGATGTCCTTGGGAAATGAGAACTTCTCGAGGTAATGCTTGTACAAAGCTTAGTTTTGACCTCAGATGCCCTTCAGGTATATCACGGGGTTCTCCAAAGCGTCCCAATTTGAGAAACCCGATATGAGCGGTCCTGCTGTTTATGTTGGTTGCTGGCTTCGCCACGACTCGATATGCGTGAGATTTCCTTGCAAATCCTTTTGAGCAGGTGCTACCATTTCAGGTGTGGCTTCGCTATTAGTAACTCAGCGATGCCAACCTAGGAGGCCTAACCTGTCTTTTGGAAGTTGTACCGGCTACCAGGTCCAATTAAGTTGAACGCTAGCACAGGGTTAAAGTAGACAGATGCTTTCCGTACATCACTTCGATGACGTTGCTTGACCTGCTAGCCAGTGGAAGGTTCTGCATAATTGTTTGCCCAAGTTCCTTGGGCTGAAGGACTAAGTAGCGACAGCTAAATAGAGGTGCTGTGGGGTTGCTACCAGCGCCGCGCGCCCTGCGGAAAATCTAAGTTGATCTACCTCTTCGTCAGCATCTGTGGCTACCTCTTTGCTGGCTGCTACACATGTGGCAATGTGCTTTTGAATTTCCCCTCGGAGGAGCTGCCAGCTGTTGTGTGGCTAGGAATCCGTTGAACGTAGCAGACGGAAGCCTCGACCCTAAAGCTCCCGGCACTTGACCACATTCAAAGACGTTCTGCCTGCATTGTTTGTATGTTGTGTAGCTGTGTTTCATTGCCTGTATTTCAGCAGGGTCACGGATATCCCGTCAGCAGCTTTAAGCGCCCTTACCAGCTGTAATTTAGAAGCCTGCAAAAAAAAACAGTATCCTCGAGTAGGTGTCAATGTCTTCTCCACTCAGCACGCGCCCAGCAGTACATTCGATCCAGGACAACCTCATCAACGTGGCCCGGGTAGCGTTGGGGATGGCTCGCTCCTCAGTCTCTAATTGCTAGCCCCAAGTTTGTCTACACATGGGCTCCATACATGCAGGTTAGAAGGCTGAATCTTGGAGATGTGTAGGTTGATGACGTCTTCGAGATTGTCGTTTGGCATGGGTGGAAGCAAAGGATTTACAGACGGCAGGAGTGCTGCACACCTCCTGAAGCTGAGCCAAACTTAGCCGCTGGCACCCCCATGCCCACCCCCAAGGAGAACGAACGCATGCAACAGAAGAGAACTTGAGGCTCCAAATGCCTGTGAAGATGCCGCCAGGTCTTGATGCTGAATTTCCCTCTCATCTGCCAGCCGTGCCGGAACCTGGGGCCGTTCGTGTAAAGTTTTGCAGACAGAAGAGGGAAAATTGTATGATGGAAGCAGGAGTGGGGATGGTGACGCCAGTGATGGGTCGGCTTAGTAGGGTGAGTAGCAACACATACATCGGAAAAGGTTGCATTCCTTTCTTTCCATCTCAGGAATGTCCAACTGCAAGGGTTGATTCACCTGCAGAGCTCTCGCGCAGATTTTTGCAGCATATCGCAAAACCCAAAATAATATCTAGCCCCTTAACCCTCCATAAGTATGTAACCCCCACAAAGCCTTGCATGTTCCGTCAAGTGCGGGTAGTTGGCCCTTGTGCGGCAACCCTATGGAAGGCTGTATACACTCCAAGTCAACACTGCCCATTGTGTTCTGACCGTCACCCGTTCATGCTTCCCGCTGCCCGCCAAACCTGCAGAATCTCTAACAGCCCTAACCACCCTCTACTCCAACGTAATGCTGACCCCACGTGTAATATATACTTCTACTAAGCCCCTCCCATTGCTCCCATTATGTGTTACTGGCGGGGACCGTACCCAGCTGACACCCCAGGAATGCGCTGTTTCGGCTGCTCAGCGGCTCAGGCTGCGTCAAGGCTGCTGATGCTCAGCCATCTGAGGTAGGCGAGGGCGCGAGGGAGATGCTCAGCTGCTCTTTTCACGAGATTCGTCTCCCACCCCAACAGGATTAAGCAATCTACCTTGTTGTGGGCGCATTCAATAGTTAGAATAGTGGTGTTTGACTTTTTATGATAGGAGGAGAGGATATCTGGGTCTTGGTGGAGCTTAGCTTTGATTACCGTACATGTTAAACCACATTTCTTGTTCAAAGGTCCTCCATTAATTAGCTTGAACTACAAGTCTTCAGTTCATGCATTGTTGTATGGTTAGAGTTCTAGGGGCCATGTATGAAATACGGGTGCGTCCCCACAGCAGTACTAGTAGCGGCAATGCAATCATGAATGATAAGAACAAGAGGTGCGATGATGCTGCTTTGGTGCCTCCGGTAGTCTTAGAAGAAATTGTACGACGCTCAAAATCAATTCAGGTTGACATTTGATGTCGAGCAAGAGGGTCATTAGGCTCTCTTCAAGATTGATGTTACCCTCAGAAGACTTCCTTCGCTGTACTTTTCCATGCTACTTGCTGCTCCTGTATGTAGATGTACAGGTAGCGGCCCTATCTTGCGTCTTTCACAGTCGTTTTCACCGCAGATAGGAGTAGATCGGAGTGGGTGAAGGCGCGGGGGCAGTATGAGCATCAGCAGCAGATGTGTAGAAGCAACGAATAGAGACGTCCATTGCATTCCTTTACTTTTTTTCTCAAGGTGTCCATGTTTTGTGCTTTAACGTGTTTAGTGTTGTCTGGCCCTCTTCAGGGGTTGGGCCGTTGCAGTTTCGGATCTGGACTTCACGCATGGTCGGGGTCATTCCACTTATGCTTCGTTCAGCATTGTTTGACGGTTCGTTCGACGGTCACCAACTCCTCAACAGTAAGAGCAGCTTGTAGACCCTGTCGTGGGTGTACATGCGCTGTCTGGACAAGTCAGACTGGCTTGATGACGCAACTGACTGACAGAAGAGTTCCTGCTAAGAAATCTGCGTTTGGCCATTGTTCGAACCCAGGCAGGGTTTTCAGAGGTTCCCAGAGTTCCGTGACAAAGCTCTGGCACTTACGCCTCTCATGACCCGCACTCTCGTTTTCCCTGAAGAAACGTGATATTATTCTATGGAGCGGTGTTAAGCACTTCTGCACTTCCGCGCGCCCCTCGAATCTCCTCACCCTCTTTGCCCTGCCATTATTTTATTCTCTGCAAGGAATAGCTCGGGCTCCTTCAGCCTGGAGATCGTGTCCACTTCGACAAACGATCTTACCCACGACATGGGGCAGACGGAACGTCTTCCGCGCGTTGCTGACACAGGACCGGGAAGGCTGGAGCTTAGGATGCGTGCAATCAATGGTAAGTGTTGCTATCCATAGCCAGTATATATATATATATACATATAGTATGCAGGCATATTCTTTTCCCCTCATATTTTTGTCCATCTTGGAAGCAGGGTCTACAAAGCCTGGTCGCATTCAGGAGGGTTTCTTTGCAGTTGGAGCATTTCTGCAACAGTGTGGCTTGTGGAAGAGCATCCCAACTTGGAGGTTCATGGACAGTGAACTTGATGTTTGACATCTTTTCGCCTGAGTTGTGAACATCCATGAGCCGCCGAGCACCCTTTTTTCCGAAGAACAGCATGGACAAGAATTCAAACCCGAAATCCTGAACCCTAACAATCCTACACATGGCCTTTCGAAGTCCCGCTAAGTTTTCGCTGCAAGCCGCCATACTCTCAAAAGCGAATAGGGTGTTCGGCTTTGGCTTTGACCAGGGTATTACAACGTCGGAGCTGAGAAAGTCCAAAGTAGAGTGTGTCAACAACTGACCTGTTAGAAGCTTGTACGATAATGGTATTGGCTCCGGGTTGCGAACCACCCGGTGTTTGGTGGCGATATTTGCAGTCTTTTGCCCTCCATACCACCGGAGGCCACACTTGCATTTTTGATCTAATAGCTGCTGGCGCAAGATATTTGTGGCAGCGGCGGTAGCAGCACACGACAGCAGCGGCGACAACGATGGTGACGACCACGACCACAGCTACCGAGTGCAAGCACAGCATGACGATGACCGCCACGGGCGACAGCAAGCGCAGTTGCAACTTCGCAGCGCTGCGACAGCGACGGCCACGGTAACGGCAACCTCGGCGGCATCGATGAAGGAGACGGCGACGGCGACAGCCACGAAGACATTGACGGTTGCAGTGCGACTATTGCTATCCAACTTTGCTGCGTCTTTCACGACGTCTATTGCTCTCTTCTTTTTGGTTTACGGTAGCATTCTTTTGTTTTCTTTCGCCACGTACACAAGGATACCCAATAGGCTGGCACATAGCCATGAGACTGCTACTGGGGTGGGGACACTGCCCAAAGACTAGGCCTCGCAGTTCACAGAAGGAACCTTGCACCACTCGAAGCCCGTATTTCCCAGAAAAATAATTTCAAGCCCCAAGCCTCAGCATATCGTAAGATGTGTCAGTATAAGTAAGTCTTCTATATGCTCAGGAAGCATAGCTCTAAAACTAAACCCTAAACCTACATCCCAAGACCTAAGCCCGCAGCTCCAAAACCACAAGCCTAAGCCCTGAACTTTCATTCCCAAGCCCTGAGCCAACAGCCCACAGCCCTGAACAAAGGGTGAGCACATGCAGGCAGTCGTCCTCTGAAGCAAGGCCCGGGTCAACGCCTTCCTCACCTCCGCAGGCGTGCGTGCACGTCTACCTCCGCCAGGAGCCCTCTAGGGTTTATAGGGTTTTGGATTAGGTTGGCTGGCTGTAAAATTCAAAGCTTCGGGTCGTGGACGTGTGCGTTTCGTATTTACTGAGTTTACTGAGTATGAAGCGTGTCTCAGGACACTCGCGGAGGCCGCGGCTCGAGTTCTTCGAGGAGCTTGGCTGCATCCTCGTGCTGTGACTAGCATCCTCACTTACAGATCTAGAAGGCTGGAGCAGACAGGCTGCCTTCGGACCAAGCCTGTTGTAATAGAAGTTGCGCCTGAGTGATTTGAATGTGCGCCAAACATGCAACAGCAGAAAACGTCTCATCATGCAAGCCAATCCTGACGCCCTTCAACGAAAGGCTTTCATCAGGTAGTCAAACTCGAGATTTGAAACCCTGCACGACAAAGTGGTATTCTTGTCCGGAGGAACGCGGCAGATGTGCCACTCGCCTTCAGTTGGTTGCAATGCGAGAGTTTCTCAGAAATGCGCCCCCTTCCAGGAGAGAAGAATATTGAGGAGACCTCCCATGGGTTCTGGCAGCAGAAGGGTTGATAAAATTATGATTCAGTGTAGCTTTCTTTTTTCAGGCCCTTGCCCGGAAAGGAGAGTGCTGCTCACGCCTGCTAAAAAATCACAAGGGTTGACTAGCTGACACGTTTTCCCACCAGAGTTCTAAGTGGGGACCCTCACGCCGAACCCCCCCTACCTACTCTGATGCAAATTTGAGGCAGGTCTTCGACACCTTCCTACCCAAAGAGGAAGCCACTCAGCTCTCAAGTAGGAGGCTACTTCGCGTCTTTTGGGTTTGGGGCGTGGGACGGCCTGCGCATTTAGGCTGAGACCCTGCATCCAACTTTCCACAGGATGCCCCGAACATGATTTCACGTGTTGCCAATCGTAAGCCTGCAATAATTAGCCAAAACACATTTTGGAGCTGATTCAGTTCATGCTTCCGCCAACATTGGGAATGCTCTGACAAACTCAGGCTATGCAGCAGGGCGCAATCGAGCCCACGAGCTGCCAAAGAATCGCTGATCGGCTGAAGCCAGGGTTTGGGTTTCGGGTTTGGTCTTGGGGTGTGAGGGTCCAAGTGTTGGGCTTTATTGGGTCTGGGGTCTCCTAGATGTTTCCCAACATGCTTGTTCGTGGAACAAGGTATGGAACGAGGTGCGTGCGAACATCCGTCCCATACCCCATCGTTCTGTGACCTCATAAGCAGCGACTACCTTGATCCACAGGTTCTGGATCAACACCCTCATTCCGTAGTGTATGGATCAACAAGTTTTGAGTGGCTAAGCAGAGGCAGGGCTCTTTGGGAAACAGCCCATGTAATTATGTGGACACCCAGAGTAGGCTCCATAACTTCGAGAACCTCAAAGTTTCAAGGTCGCTCTTTCACAACACACCTTTGGTGCGACTTGATTTGTAACGGCTCTAAGTCATCCAAAAAAGAGTTTCCAGCATCATCCTGTTGCCACCCTTACATTAGGTTCTCCAGCCTCCAACATACACCACCTTTTTAAAGCCAGCCGCCCAGGTGATGACCTCCCTGCTTCTGGGCACTTCCCTGCTGGTAAGCTGTGTCATGAAGAGCATCATGGTCGTTTGGTCCGTGATTGGCAGCACAGATCCTTGGCCATGAAACGTGAGGTTCACACTTATTACATGATGCGGAGGACGAAAAAACTTCTTGATCCCATCTACCTGAAACCTGGGAATGGTGGTCGTATAGCATAGTTAGGGTCATGCAGGATTTCGTCCGGTCAACAGCAGTACACTGGCTGTGATGATCTGAGATCTGATTTCAGTACAAGCCTTGTGTGGATCCCAGGAGTGGACCAGATGAACATGTTTTGGAGGTTTCTGAGGGGCGGAGGTTACACCAACAATTGGCAGTCTGCAGTCTGCAGGAGAATTTTAGCTTGACTGCACATAGGGCTGCCTGTTGACACTGCAAAGAACATATTGTGAGCAGGGTTCATGCACACAACTCGCATGTCTCTTGGAATCTCCGCCTCTCCTCAAGATATTATGGTGTGTGCGATGTTTGCCGGTCTTCACAATCCTGCCACGCTACACCTAACAAGGCATCCAGAAGTTTCAATTTCTTCGAGGGTAGCCCATGTCAGGGTGCCTGCTGATGCTAAGGTAAGCTTCCTTATAGCTTTCATTCTGCCAGCGCTCTTCTGGTACAAGGCTGGGGCCCGAAATGGTTGGGTAGACGCGCCCTCTTTTGCTCATGCTCATGCAGGACGAAGTGCATAACTGCAGCTGTCCACTGTTGCTGTGTTCCCGAGCTGTGGGGTTCTCAGGGTGCACTCTGATCAAGAGATGTGTGATTGATCGAAGCTGCAGCTGCAGCAGTCGGGAAAGAAGCGCAAGCATCACCTGTGGAATCCTGTGCAACTTGCTGATAACACTCTTGGTGTATGGTCGGCTGTGGTACTGTAGCATTGTAGCAGCTGCGGGAATGATATGGAATGATGATATTTTGGAAAGGGGCAGCTCGAACGGATATACACACGCAGACATGAAATCAAAACAAGAAGCAGCTAAGCAAGAACAGGGCCAACAACAAAAAGAACTAGACGAGCTCAACACGGCAGCAGCGTCAGCATTTGCAGCTGGCGGCAGCGCGGGGGCGGCGCTGGCAAAAGGAAGAGGGAGCAGACAACAAAAACAAGAGTAAGACGAAGCAGAAGTAGAAGTTAGACGAAAACGCCAATGGCGGCTCTAAAGAAAGCAGCAGCAAGCCCCACCACAAACGAGCATCCCCACAGAAAACCTAACCGCATTGCAGGTTGTCGGGCCAACGGTTCGGCCATGGCGCCGGGGCGCTGCCGCGGCGCTCATAGCCTTCTGCTGCGTTATGTCCATGATCTGCTTCGTCCTTGCTTGTGCCTTGGCCACACGATTCCAACTCCACAAGCAAACGCAGGAAGCTGAACAGCTGAAATCAGTTCTGGAGGTCTGGAGTAACATGTATAAGCAAGATGGCGGATGACATGGTGGATTCTGGACGTATTATGTCAGGCAAGTGTGATGACGGTTGCAGCAGATAGAGAGATCATAGGTACAATGTCGATGGAGATCTCAGCTTTGGAGCGGGTATGGACCATGTCCAGGAAAAGTATGATGATGGACACACAGCTCATTGAAGAGGAGCTGATTTAACAATCTATTCACAGGGTGCTTATTGTAATACGGCTCATCAGTCCTGCAACATATTGCAATGGCATCTATAAAAACCAATGGTGGCTTGGACGGCTGGAACCTAGATGGTTATTCGGGGGCACGGATTGAGATGTAGATTTAGGTGGACTCTGGTGTGAGGTACCAGGTAGGAACAGAAGAAGTTAATAACCAGGTATCATCCTGCCTAGAACTACAGTTGTATGTAGCCCTGATGCTTCATGACAATCATGCCTAATCACCTAACTGAGGTGTGAACTTGAACGAGCCACCGTGCCCCACCAAGAGCCTGCCTCCTGCTTGGGCCCTGGCTGCTGACGTTCACAGTTTTATCTAGTCTGACAGAAGAGCCGCACATACAGCACATACAGGGCTCTCCTCGTTCCTGGAACCACAATTCGGGAAATTCCTGAAGCGGCTCTTGCGAATTGGCGCCCTTGCTAGTCCTTCTCACATGCATAGCCTGGCCGTGAAAACGTTGCAGCTTGCGATTCGACATTTTCATGGCTGCCATCTGGTTGGTGCAGCAAGTTTTGCTCGCCATGAAGTGGTACTATTTGGTACTATCCTCACGGCGTGCTAGCTTTCAACTCATCTTGCAGGGCGCCTAGTTCCTGGCGTGCTCAACCAGGCCCAATCAGGCCCACATCTGGTAGCAATTGGTCGCTTTGCAAAGCCAGGTTCCCTTACCTCGGATGAACTTCAAGCTGAGGTGCAGATGATTCATCATGAGGCGGCCGCCGGCCTGCAAATCTTTTCCACTTGAGCTGATGCTTACCCTGCGGTGACGAAGTGTTGTGGAAGCCTGGATAGTTGCCAATTTGTAATTGTCCAACAATAGTTTTGCTACGAAATTATGATGTGGCCCGAAGCCTTATTTGGCTCATTTGGGCCCCTACATTACACCTGACATGGGAAGCATTGGCATAGCGCCTTCCTCCTGCCTGCCAGTTCAGGCAAAGAGCCTTTGAGATTTCATCTTTGCCGGCTGTACAGGGGAAGCTGTCACAGAGGTTTCTGGTAGGAGGTCACTTGGCAATCATGTTTGGGTGGGCCATTCTATCTGATTTGAAGCCCCACTTGGTAGTTGCATGGCAGCTTAATGTAGATGTTTCGGACCAGGGAATGTGGAGCGAGATACAGTGTTTGGATCTTTTCAATTTAGCTTGGGTACCGTGTCCTCGAGTCCCTCATGCCTTGTGGCTCAGTGCCAGACATGGAGGCAGTATGTGCTTTTGCCTGTTTGGGGCTGCACTGAGGGACTCGGGGAGGCAGACCCGGGACACCTGAAGCAAATAAAGGAAATACCCAAAGAAACAGTATCAGTCAAGTTTTGTGTTGCTTCAGGTGCCAAGCTGGTGAAACGGCAAGCCTTGCTCTTGTGGTTTCCAATTCCCAGCTTCTTAGAGGCACTTCGCCCAACGTCCTGACGCGCTTTCCCACAAGCTGTCAAGGAAGAGGGCGAAGAAGTTGGCAGATGACTGTCGCTATGGGCACCCTCAAAGCGGGAAGCATGCAACCAAAAGCGGTACTGGCCATGACTCAGCCTGTTTGAACCGTGGATGACCTTTAGGACTTTAAGTCAGCTGAAACACCCGACATTGCTGGCATTTTGGCTATTCGGTCTGCTGCGAGCAATGCCACGGCTTGCTACACGAGGCGGCCTTTCACAGAGTCTGACCTCCACCTGATGCAGGATAAGTTTGTAGTTAGAATCCTACTGGCACCACAGGTTTTACTGCCGGCAAATGCATTCCCTCCATTGTTTAGTCACCCGGTAGAAACGTATGTCAAAACCAGGCCATGAACCGCTGTCATTAAGAACAAGATTAATACCGAGAACGGTTTCAGGTGCTCGGACCTGAAGGGCTAGGTGGTTTAACCACATGGCTCTCGCAGGCCAACATTGCTTACCGTAGACTTCGCACGTTGCGTGTACGACGTGTTGTCAGGGGAACTTATCAGGCCAGAGATGTGAAGGGTTTGAAGTTGAAAGGTTGCAACGTGGTGGTCCTCGTGTCCCTGTACCGTACGCTGCCTATATACATATATACTTATAGTAAAAAGCGCACTAGTTTTGGCAACTTTCCCGTACCGCAAGTCTTGTGGTACCCCCCCAAACCCAGCACCTACAACTACAGTCGTATCTTGTGACCGTAATAGGGTCCTAGTTTGAATGCCGAAGCGCTTCAGCTTCAATGGAGCTAGGGCCATGCTATCAAAGGATTTCTGAGGGGTTGCTGGCGCTGCTCATCTAGGGCTCCACTTGAACAGCTTTGGAATCTTAATGAACTTTGATAAGCTATCATATACGAAAGCCGACACGACAAGAGCCCGCGGAACCCTACTACATCCCCCAAAAATCGTGGCGGAACCCTACTACATCCCCCAAATTCGTGGCTATGTCAAAGTTTCACACAGCTGCATCCCTTTACAATCCTTTAGCAGGCGGTTCTCCTGGCGTGCGGGACCAAGACTGGAGTGCAACCCAGAGTTTAGGGGATTTGGGATTAGGGGTGTGAACAAGGGGCCTGGGGGTTTGGGGAGTGCAAAGCCTGAGGTTTGGGACCTTGTCTAAAGCGCGCTTAGGGTTCGGCGCTTTGACTTTGGGTAGGAACAAGCTCGAAAGAGCATTCCGTCCGGGTCTCGGTCTAAGGGTTTAAACGGCAAGGAATTCAATGAACATCATGTAGCGCTATATTAGGTATTAGCCGAAGCGAGCGACAATGAAAGAAAACAAGTCCTCTTGATTGGGGCAGCATTGCCACCACCTCCCTCCTCCATCAGCCTGTTTAGAGTGAGTTTGGGGCGTAAGATCAGCCGTGACTTCTGTGATTCACCGTTTGTCTTGCGTTTCAGAATTTGTCTAGCAAGCATGGAAGCACGCTGGTAAATTCCCAAGGCCGAGACTTGGCCAGCAGTATGGGGGTTTGGCGAGGGTCACATGGTTGGTGTCAAGTACAGTCCTCTGTATGATAACTACCAGCATCCCACAACAATTTCACGCGATACTTGAGACCCCGCAAACAGAGGGCCCCGTCCGGATGCGTCAAAATCCTTTTTCCTAAGATGGTCTAAACCCTGCAAAGGCTTAAAAGCATCGAAGATGCCCAATATCCCAAGACCCTGACTACATGCGGAACTCGGCAGTCCCATCCAGCACTATGTTTTTCATTCGTGCAGTAATCTCAGGGTGCGAGCCCTTTCGCGCTTCGTCCTTTCCCGCGGTACCTTGTGATGCGTCGGAGTTTCACATGCTTGGATGACCACTTCTGCTCGCAGAAAACAATTGACTTGGCATCATTGTCATTTGCCTTCTCATGCACTTGTCTTCCAGTTCTCAACATCGTCGTGTCAAAGCTTTGACAGCATGTGTTGCAGGGAGGAACGCAATCCAGCAATGACTTTGCACGTAGTTGGCCGAAATTGTGGTTCTAGCTTCATGCACACACACACACACCTAAAGCACAGGATCTCAGAGCACCAGTGTTGCATTCGTCTCCGCATTTGTGATCCAAATCTTATAGGCATTCGAGTTAACAGCTGGGGGATTGGGGATTAGGGCTCGGAGCCATTGACGCGCTATCCTGAAGACATGTAGGTTGTACCTGTCAATCCTAAGTTTCAGCACGGCGCCGCGCGATTTACAACGGTTTACAATGTTATGCACACATATTCCCATCTGACATTGCCAGCATTTCGGCTGTTCGGCTTGTTGCAAGGCATTGCCACCGTAAGATGTTGTGTGCGAGATGTTGACAGGCTAGGATGTGCGCAAGAACCACCTGTAAACCAAGAAAGCTAGAGGTCACGCCAGGGTGGCACGCCAGCACAAGTTTTGCTCTTATATTGCAGCACCCGGAGCTGCGGGCTTACATGTACCTTACTGTACTCCCTGAATCTACACGTGTCAGTTCGTGCTTTTCATGGGCCACTGCAGCCCCTTGAATCGTCACTCCGCTTGCGCATTTCCGCCGAGGACTAGGCAGCATAGAAGTTGGCACAGTTTGGACTCGAAGGAATAAAACGGAATCTGAAGATTTCAGGCACGTTTTTGTGGATAAAACGGAATCTGAAGATTTCAGGCACGTTTTTGTGGGGGTATGAAAGGCTTCTTCCTTGACAGTTGAGTTCAGGCTTCAGGGAGACTTTGGTGTAAGAGTTCTGAAGCACGAGTCTTGCACTTCCGTTCCGATTGTTCCACAATGCTGGCCTTGATCTGGTTGCCGAAGCGCTACCTGCATTGCACGTGTACGGCATGAGCCACAGGTACCATGGGCTCTAGGTCTGCCTTTGCTTGTTTCCTCCAATGGGATGCCCTGCTTGCTGGCACTATCGTCTTCCAGAAATTGCTGGATTTTCATGTGTCTGCTTGCCAACAGCTTCATCATCGATATGCTCACCGCCGCTGCCTTGTAGATGCACCCCAAAATCATAATGGGGTGTTTCCCACAGGAACCCCAACAAGGAATCTTAGAACTTGTAGTGACTGGAGTGCTCGCTTGAACTTTTGCTTCTGGTAGGGCGATCGTGCTCGGCGGCTTCCTTGCCTGTGCATCACGAGGACGGGCGTTGTGGCATGGACAGGTGCCGAAATGATTGGGATAGATCTGGGCAGTACATGTGCCAGTAAACTTATAACGGTTTCACCTTAGTGACTATACTCAGATTGATAAAATCCCGCGGCCAGAACACAGAGAATGTCATGTTTTAGGGACAATGATTCAAATTTGATGTTAATTGACGTGAAGCAGCTTTTCAAAACCAATTTTTGGGCATCATGTTTCTGGGACACCAAACATTTAGATCGAGGGCTGGGGCTTTAATCAATCCGAAGCCAGCATTACCGTAAACCTGAAACCGCTTCAGGCCAGAGGCTCGCGTCCCGCATCCTGAAACCCAAATCTCGCGCCCTCGAACCCTCAAAGAAAGCATAACCCGGACCCTACATAGCCTTGAGAACATCAAACCTAAGCCTCCTAATTAAGCCCTGAAGCAAACCTTGAATCGAAGGCTGGGGCTTCTCCTGGCTTGCAGAGCGCCGCCACATGGAGACCCCTAGGCCAGAGAGCATTGCAAGAGGCCAGGAGGTACATGGCTTAGGATTCCAGATCAAGGGCCTAGGGCTCATTGAGTTGAAGATGTTGGCTTTCTCTAGACTGAGTGTAGCGTTCGCTGCGGGCTCACAGTGTTCAAGATTGAGGGGCTGGGGTTTCTAGGTTTCTGGGCGTGGGCTGTACGGAGTCATTGTTAGGGATGGGCTGTAGCCCAGCCATCTTATGCTATCTTACAGGATTTTCTCCTTGATTCCACCATTATTTGGTCTTGACAAAGGGCCCCCTGCTAAGATGTAATGCTGTTATTGTGCCCCATTCGTTGTGATATTGTCCTTGCTGCATTTCTTAAACCATAGTCCTCACTGTTGCTCTGGCGAGCTGGATTGGCATTGTGCGCAGCTTTTGTTCGGTTACGCTAAATTTGGACTACTCCAGGATCAATTGGTGCAATCTGGGATTTCCTAGGGTGGTCGAACCTTGTGATACAACCGTTTTCAAAAACAATCTTCAAGATATTCTATCGGCATTATAGATCGAATGCATGGGGACCAGAAGGAACTCCATTTGATATGGAAGAGGCAAACGTGCACTGCAATAGTTTTTTTGCAGATAGCTTGGGCCCAGCCTTTAACTGTGAACAAGACAACCGCAAGCAAAGGCCACATGCAGATTTAGGCTATGAGTTATGCAAGAGGCAAGGGTTTATCAGCTTCTCCCATGAAAGCCGCCAGTCTAAGAGAGAAGATCTTCGCAGCTTCCTGTGTGCAAGGAACGCCGTTGGATGCAGAGCCTACCTGCCTATCAGCTGCTCTGCCAGGATTGCTAGGACATGTTAGACTCTATCCCACTCGGAGTCTGTAGTTCCTGGCATGATGCAGTTTCAATCCGTTGCTTACTTTCTCTGCTTTGTGTACTTGATGAACTATCTCGGGAGCTGATCGATGCAGGGGAGGCGCATAAGAGTCACATCTTGCTACTCTACCAAACAGTCACCTGTGCTAGGAGGCTAGGAGTATGCAGGTGAAGCGTAACACTGGGTGCTGCTGTAATTTCCATGCATCTGTAGGTCCTCAGCTACAACCTCCTGGCACCAGCGTTTGTGCGACCCATTGACCTGCGAACTGGGGCCGTGCAGCCTTTTGCAGCTTTTGAGTGGGCCTCTGCAGCGGATTTGGAGTGGGACCTGCGCAGGAAGCGCTTGCTTGAACAGCTGCAGAGCTGGAATGTAGATGTACTGTGCCTGCAGGAGGTCCAGTTCGAAGCCTCGCCTGATGGCTCGTTCCGGCTGCCAGACTGGCTGGGGCTTCAAGACTACACGGCTTCTATTCCCGCGGAGAAATACCTGACTCTCATCGCAGAGCGGAATGAGCGCGTTCTTGCGAATAAAGTTGCCATTGGCTGTGCCGTCCTGTACCGAAACGGTCGGTTGCAACTGTCGGAGGATTCTGAAACTGGGTTGCTGTTAAGGACCTATAGATAAATAAAAAACCGTCACCGGGATACTTTACCAAATTATTTCCTGAATATGAACTCAAGTTCCTTTACAGCAACCTAGGAGAGTTCACGGAGCGGCGACCCCAACACTCTCGTCTCGGCTTGCTTGCAAGGCGTGCCTGGATCGCCGCTGGAGCAACTAGGAAAGACTACTTTTTTCTCTGTCCATCTGGATGCACAGAGTGAGGAGAAGCGGGTCGACCAGCTTCGAAAATGCTTGGAAAGAGCTCGCGCTTTAGGTACGCGGCAAGTGGTGTTTGCCGGAGACCTGAACACCGAGTGTCGCCCTGGGTCTTGTATCCGGGCATTTGTTTCAGACGAGGCTCCCTCTAACGAGGACATGGCTAGGGAGTGTGCTTCCGCACTACGCATTGCTGGCACCGAGGATGGTGATGATGAAAGCCCTGCAAATCAGAAAGAGCTGAGAGGTGATGGGGGTGATGGGGAGCCATCAGCAGATCAGCTAGCTGCCTGGCATTTGCTCTGGCAGAAGGCTGCCAAGTCTCCATCTGAGCACCGAGTACGACTTATGCGCGTGCCCACGGGTCCTACACGCTCTGCCTACGATCACGGCAAGACCGAGGGCCCCTGCGTCTCCTGGCGGTTAGCTCCTGGGTCCGATCTTGTCATCACATTTTTGTTTCTGCATGCCCTTGTCTTAGCTATCGTAAAATGCGAAACAGTATTATCTGGTATGAACTGTTGCTGCTTGCTGCCCATTTGGAGAGAAGACTGTGGCGTCCTCTGTTTGCAAGATGGACTGTGGATTTACAAGCAGGAAGTACTCGAACCTTGTATAGGTTCTTGTTTGGATGGATTTTGAATCTACGGCCGCCGCGCATGTTTGTTTAAAGGAATGCAGGAGGAGGTTCCGAGGTCCCAATGTTACTCCCTCTGAAAACCCCTTTGGCTCTGACCTCATGGCGACGCCCATGCCCAGATTCCCCGAGTCCCCGCACTACCCTCCCTGGTGTGACTAGCTTTCCGGCTGATCCAGGACCACATCTTGCACAGCCCGGACACGCTCCATCTACGACAGCTTTGGACGACCCTGGAGGCATGACATCCTAAAACTAACCCGTTGGGGTAATGTTAGGCTTGTATTGGATTTATATTGGGATACTGGAAAATGAAACGGAAACTACTATTGAGGGTTTAGCCTAAACATTATACCCCCCAAGTCAGAGGCGGATGAAGCCGCCTCCGCCAGCGGCCTCCCCAACCGCGAGAATCCGAGCGACCACCTCCCAGTGGCTGCCATCTTCCAGGCCTGGTGAAGCCTGTTAATTTGTTTAGGGTTTAGGGGTTTAGGGTTTAGGGATCCCTATGGTAGGGCTTATTGTATGTTCGGGTGTATGACAGCGTGGGCCCCTAGTCTTTGTACAGCGTATTTGGGCCTCCACATTAGCTTGGGGGAGCCAAACCAGATGCAAAAACCTAGGGCCCTTTTTTCGGAGGTTCTAGTAATGAAAAGTATCGTCTACTATGTAACTATGTAGTATATTTGGCCCTTAAGTCATACATTAAGATCCTGTTACCATTCGAAGAATTGGCATACTCATTCCAGAGGTTTGGAAGCTGATGCATCAGCAGAAATGCGAATAGCATTGACAATTTGACCATGTCTTTCGCTGACTTAAGGTGCGAGTGCTATACAATGTAGGGATTGCTGTTTGCACTCCATCAAGACTACGGAACCCGAAAATGAGCCCCTGCAGCTCCGTGCGTTCAACACAGACTCCTATGAAACTCCATGTTAGTCTGGGAGAGAGGCTTCGGGGCGGTGAGCAAAACCGCTGCCAATTACAGAGGTTGCTGCGGTCAGACTAGGAATGCGACTGACCTAGCCACGAAAAATAGGGGGAGAAGCAGAAGTATACATATGGCAGGAGACAGAAGGAACCGTGGTCGAATCTGTTTTTCACTTCTCGCCTAGAAAGTCATTGGTCATCCAGCCGAGGGTTGTTTCGTCGCCTGCAGGGCTATTTTCAAGTTGACTTTTTACTGCACGATTGTCTGTGGACTGTCTTTGAGCTTCCTCTTCTTGTCAATGATGCAAACACATCTTGCGGATATTGTGGGATGTGAGCCTGTCCCACACACTTAGCTCTTGACATTGTGCTTGGTCCGGGGCTTGGGCCTTGAGATTGGGTCTCAGTATTACAAGGTCGTGCCAAATTGCTGCTTGAGGCGATTTCAGGTTGATACCACTCCTCACTACTCATTTCAACGGATTGGGTTGGCATGGGAGGGCTGTTTGTCCATGGTAAGCTCATTGGCCTCAGTGAGAAGAACAAGCTCACTGAACAGCCCCACATGTTAGTAGGTAGAAGTAGGATTGCGGTAGCAGCAGCTGGATGATAGGCTGCAGTAGGAGGATTGACATTGAGGAAGCGACAATATACGCATTCCCCACCACGCATGCTCAATTTTGTAGCAATGCTAAGAAGGCAGTCGTCTCTTGTAGCAGCTGATCTCTGGGAACGACATAACCAGGTCGGGAGTTTGGCCGAGGCGGCATAGCGCAGGTGTCCCAAGATTAGCTCAAGGGGAACACGAATATCATTTGGACCTAGAGGGTAGACGCCTCCTTGATTTCATGTTGAGCGCGAATGCAAACTTTGAAAACTGGCCGATCCATCCCTTAGATTCGAGAAACATTCAGGTACTGTAGAGGTGTCAGTAGAGTTACAGCAGAGATGACTGGCTCGCGGTAGCCAAGCGTTCATCGCAACATCGCTTTTTGATCCTTAATGTCGGAATGCCGGCTCTTTATCACGCGGATGCAGATTTCGCAAAGTGTTGGATTGGTGACCTACCGTAGGGAATGAGAGCTAGGCTTCGATCATATTTGACGCCGATTGGCTTTGCTGTATTGATGAAGTTGATGATAAGACAGTAATTGAATGGCGTGCGAGAACAACCCTTTCGACCAGTTACTTGGTTAATATGTATGTCTGTATATATAATTTCATACGCCCTATCATGTCCGCAGATGGCCCGATATTATCCCTATGAGCAGCCTTTATTCAAATTTACACCCCCCCCCCAGCTATTTATTTCAAATTTAGCTTCTCCCACGTCAAGGCCTCTAAGGCATCTTTCATTGATGAGTTTATAGATACATGAGTTGGGTTAGGTCTCCACATGTCAGGTACCCCAAAATAGCAGTATAAACGTACCCTTAGTTTCGGGAAACCCCCATATGTCCCTAAACCCCAAACCCTGAACCCTAAACCCTAGAAACAAACAATGGAGCTATGCTACCAGGTGTCACCGCCGCCTGCTTTAGCCTCAGATGCAAGGCCAGCTGGTAGTTTCCATTTTCTTTTCCGGTATCCCTATATAACCCCAGTATATGCTCTAATATACTATAGTAGTTTCCATTTTCTTTTCCAGTATCCCCTATATAACCCCCAACATGCTATAGATAGTTTCTTTTTGCTTTTCCTTTATCCCTACATACCCCAACATTGTTGCTTTTGGGGTTCCTGTTGCAGCCATGGACATCGTTATTGAGACTAGTTCGACTACTTATTATGACACTAGCATCACTATGATGATGTCTTTTTGGATTTTTTTGGATTGCTTTTGCTGCTGGCCATCGAAGCAGGGAAGCAGCCACGGCAGCATTTTCTAAGAAGATGTAGTTGTGGCGGCGGCAGTAGTATTAGTAGCAGCAGGAGCACGGGAGAGCAGTAGAAGGATCAGGAGCAGTGGTAGCAAGACGCAGCATCCCACCACCACACGTACTAGGTGGGCCGCAGGTTTCCACCTAGGCCTCACGTATCAACTTGTAAGCTAGAAGCCAGATGCCCGTACCACAAACCTCAATCTTTGAAATTTGAGCTCTAGTCTCAAATCCTAGCATCCCCCTTAATGACCCATACACTAGTCCCCTATATAATCCTCTTGTAACCCCCTCCAAAGAGTTTAGACTATGGCTCATTTCATGCAAGGCAAGCTCTGGTACAAAGCTTGGAGACTTTAGAAACAAAGCACGCATCAGAGATGCGGGACCTGGAGCAGGACTTGGTTTCGGGTTTAGGGAGATTCCCTAAATAGGGGGGGCCCCAATATAAACCCCAAAACACTACCAGCCTTACTGTGGGGGACCCTCAAAATGGAAATCCCTTATTTTGGGAACTCCCTACATCTCCCGGATGACTTGCGATGAGGAAAGTCAATGGCAAGAATGATATGGTTGAGGGACAACATCCTGCGTGACTTGAAGTATGCAATAGCACGCTAAGGCCTGGGGTTTGGGTGTATAGGGTCATGCAGGGTTTGCCCATCAACAGTAGTATTGATTTGGATTGTGATTGTCATGGTTGTCTCGCTCCCTAGGGTCCTTGTGGCCACATTTTTCCAGGCTGTAGGATTTAGGGAGCATCGCAAGCCAACCAGCGACCTTTCAAATCCACTTGAGGGCGGCAATATCTGAAAGTGCGGGTGAAAAGGTCCATGAAGAAGACAAGTTGGTGTGAGGGTTTCTCAATCGCTTTCAGAAAGGCGGGATATAGCAATTGCAAAGGGATTATATGGGAGTCCCTCTTGGGGGATTCTGTGGCACAGGTAATTTGAGAACCCCCGCCTTAGCCCGCAGTGTCTTGAGCTCCTCCCAATGATCCTCGCAATCTTTCCCCCCAAATTCATTGGAGTCCCAATATACTCTCCCCACATTCGACGGAAACCTGACACATACTGTTGCGCCGTCCAAACCCTCGGCCGGAAACTCCAATTTAAACCCCAAGCCATACACAAAAGACCAATACCAAGGCTTAGCTGTAAGCCTTGAGCTCTCCACTTCAGCTTCGAATACTCGTACTGGGCACAATTTCCAGAGCTTCCAAAGCCTTTAAGCTAAGGAATATATAAGGAAAGATCCCCGAATATGTACCCTGGTTCTTGGAAACTTCCGCATGAAAATGACAAAAGGCATATTCCGCACTTAGTTAGTTAAGAAGCTGTTAGGTATGCAAAGAATCACAATATGTTGTGGGACAAGCCTTGAAGCCTTAATCTTTTCAGCCCCAAACCTTCAGTCACTTCAGCCCCTGCAATGCTGAAGCCCTGAAGCCTTCAACTGGAATCAAGGACGGGTTTTACTGCCTGGGGCTTAGTAGAGAATTCGGCAATAGACTATATTGGGATAACATAGGATTACATTATACGATTCCCTTCTAAACCCCAGTGAGTTTAGGGAAGTGACGATGTTGAGGAGCTCTCGAAGCTGGAGCCGGTGGGTGAAGCTGTGCCTGAGGCCGGGGAGGAGGTTGAGGGGTTAGTATTGGTATTAGTATTGGTATTAGTATTAGTATTAGTATGACTATTAGTATTAGTATTAGCAGTATTAGTATTAGCAGTATTAGTATTAGCATTAGTATTGGCCTTAGCATTTCGGATGTGCAGGTTGCAGGGGGTTATATTTTTTGTTGGTGGTTTGTAGGGAATGAAGGAATGGGAAATGTGCAGCAGTGATTGGGGATTACAAAGAGGCCAGCCAGATCTGTACCCTAGTGAGAACAAGTAAGATGAGGCTTGGAAGTGGGTTACTGCAGGGTTCAGGTAGTGGCCTAAAGACTTCGCGTCGCATTCTTTTGCTGCAGTACGTTCTGCACGGCAGGTATTCTGCAGGTGGTGTTTTGATGGCTGGGAAAGCATCTTTGAGGGTTTGGGCTCATCACTTTGAGCGTTGTCCTGCAGCACCAGAATTCGCAAAAGCAGGTGTGTTGTAAGAACTGTTGCTGGTCAAGTAGGAATGCAGCAAGTTGGAAGAGGACTGGCAGGAATCACAAGTTCGCAAAAGCAATACTGCAATTTTGTGACCCTCAGAAGTCTAAAGGTAGAAAGATACAGTTCATTACTAGCACCAAATTTTCTTGCGCTTGCCACTTGCGTCATGACCTGTTCCGCGCCATGGTCTTGCACTGCCAGTTCCCAACTTGCAGCTTCACCAGGATGCTCTGGGAGTCGGATGCGCTTGGGGATGGACATCGTTATGCGTTGGGACTCGTGCATGGATATTAAAAGCACTTGCGAATTGGCGCATCTCGACAAGGATGCTCTCCGGGACAGGCAGGCATCAGAATTATGTTTGTGCACGGATGCTCTGGGGAATGAGTGTGACGGATGAAGGTCCAGAATAGATGCTCGGGACGCCGCAGGCTCTGGTATGGTCACAGATCGGGCATCACACAAAGACACAGCCAGGTAATTGGGTTTGTGGATAAATTTCTGGTACTGCAACTATAATCAGGCAGCATCTTGAAGGTAATGTTTCTAGCTAGCTGTTTAAGAGCTTGCGGTTCAGTGCGTGAAGTTCAGACGGTTTTGCGCTAAAATGTAGGGAGGCGGGAAAGAACTGCTGGGTTCGTCGCTTGCTGGATGGTCGCTAATTTTAGGATCAGGCACGAGAGCCAGACCTTGGGACAGGAAAGACAATTCCAGTCTGCCAGTCGGCCTCCAAGTGGTGGTTTGTTTGCGCCTGCTAAAATGTTTGTCATTCTGTCCACGTTTGCAATGCGCAAGCAGAGCCATTCGTAATTACTGCTTGTCCTGCATGTTCCGCCTGCATGCGTCGACCGCTTGCAGCATTGTTCAGTGTCGGATGAGTTTTGATTGCTTGCAGGCAGGCTATGCCAATGCCAAGGCGAAGAACAAGAAGATGCCCAGCTGCAACCTTCACAAGCACCGCTGAACAAGTTGGTAGTTTCAGTCAGAGTTACAAGAGAAGAAGATGATGCCAGTAAGTGTTGAAGAATTCCCTTTGCGGCTTTTCAGGTTACCTATGTATGCGCATTACATGGGTGTTCAGCGCTACCGTAAAAGTGCACCTAGCAAGACCTGCCACCGAGGCCATCGTGTCGTACTAAGCGAGGACTCAGAACAGGTGGACAACAAGTTCCGAACAAAGTTTCCTTCTATGCTCAAACAATACTCAAGCAACAATGGGCGCCCAAATCTTAAAATCCTAGAGCAATCATGTTCTTACAGTGCCTTGGCCCTCATGCCTTCAGGAAGGGAGACTCGCCTGAAATGATTGCCTTCAAGCAGGAGCATGCTTGCCTTGCATCCTGGGGATGCTGCTTGTAGCCTCCCCCGCTGGAAACTAGCGGTTTAAAATTTAGGGTTTAAAGTTTAATATATTAGGGTAACATTAGGATAATAAAAAAGAAAATTAAAACTACTATAATATATGGGGGTAACATTGGGGTAATGGAAAGGAAAATGGAAACTACTATAGTATATGGGGGTAATATTGGGGTAATGAAAAAGAAAATGGAAACTAGCATTTAGGGTTTAGGGTTTAGGGGGCCATACCCCCCCCCCTCAATAAGATGCTGCTTGTAGCCTCCCCCACTGGAAACTAGCGGTTTAGGGTTTAGGGTTTAGGGTTTAGTATATTGGGGTAACATTGGGGTAATGGAAAAGAAAAAGAAAATGGAAACTAGCATTTAGGGTTTAGGGTTTAGGGGGCCATACCCTCCCCCCCCCCAATAATGGAGAATCAAATGGAAAAGCACATGGAAAATGAAATGGAAACTGGGATTATAGGTTAGTGATGGTTAGTGAATAGGGAATCAGGGTTTGAGCTAGAGTCTAATGTCTTTAAAGGGGTGTTACAGCGGGGATTATATAGGGGACGATTATTTGGCTTATGAAGGCGGATACTCGGAGTTTAGACTACAGCTCATATGCAGACTTCTTAAATATATATGTGCTTATTATGGGATTGTCTTGGGGCCTAGGGGTGATTTTGATAACTTCCCACTAGCCCTTAGCCTTCAACCCTATTGAGATCTCTCATTCAATGAAGCCAAACCCGCTAACTGCCCTTCAGGCCGCCTTGCGACTCCCAAGAGAGACTTTCAACAAAAAAAGGCAGACTTCGGACCCTGGGGATTCGGGGATTCCTGAACATTCTAGTCAGATCATGGGGTCTCGATGAAGGGTTGTGCAAGGAGCAATTAAGCTTCTAGCCGCGACCGTTCGTTGGCCTTATACAGCTTCATAGGGCAGAGAAGAGCTGTAGAGGGATGCAGTGGTTGCCAGGCCAACTTAGACGCAGTGCCTGGCTTCATCCTTCGGAGGAACGTGCCAACTGGGCGGCCTGTGTTGAGCATCCCCCAATACGGCGATATCCCAAGCATAAGGAACTCCTAAACATGTCTTGCTAGCCCAATAATAACCCCTATATAACTCCTATGTATACCTTCTATAACCCCAATATAAAGCCCCGGTGCCGAAACTGAAAAAAAGGGCAGGAAACGGGACAATTGGTTTGGCGGATGCCCAAGAGTCATGGGACACAGGCATGACATCACTCATGCAACAAGTAGGCATAGCAAGGACCCACACGTGTCAATGCTGTCCATGCGAACCTCAACCGGCTGAAGGCCGCACTATGTGAAGCCTTGCCCAAGTGCCCAGGTCCTTCAACACGAAAAATGTCTCAGCGCGCCTGAGGTCCTTTTGCCAGTTTACAGTTTCCTCAAGCCATATCTGTAAGATCCCTCCTAGATCCCCTAATCCCTTGGTACTCGCCGTATGTATTCCCCCTGTTGGAACCAACTATAGTCCCCCTGAAGTAGATAGAATATGGAATTGACCAAGATGAAAAGAAGATCGCCGTATACCCAGTATTCTATCTACTTAAGCCGTCACTGTCTTGCAATCGTAGGAGAAGCGCCGGCGGCAGAAGGAGCTGAAGGGCAGGCCGGGCAACAGAAACTCACGGTTACCACATGCTGACTATCATCACGACGCTACATTGGGGTTACATTGGGATAATGGAAAATAAAATGGAAACTGCTATTTAGGGTTTAGGGCCTAGGTTTGAGGCTTCATCGCAACGGCTTGCTGTTGTTTAGCAAGGAATGAGGATGATAGCCAACCGTGGTAAAACTACAATCATTCTTTTAAGGTGGCCATTCCAACCTCCCTCCACCCCAAGAGTTTCCCCTCCTCCCGTCTGTCCGCAAGTGTAGCTGGGGTTTTGGGTTTCCTTCCAAGAATGATGTAGCTGGCTTCTCTTAAAGATCACACAGTAGCAACGGCTAAAGGCATCCGTTGACAGAATGGAGGTTTTGGATCAGATTGCTCTCTGGAAGCACCATGCGAGATCCCTCTTCTGTGCATCGGGTAGTCAAGTGGAACAAGAAATTTCACCACGAGAAAATCTGCGGCCAGCGCAGTCTTGACATCAAACCGGCAGTGAGAATGTCCGAACCAGCCTTGCATGCACCCGCAGCCAACGAGTGCCGGTGCAGTACACGGCAACGCTTTTAGCTTGTTTGAGATTCTGCCCTTGGTGCGGTTGCTTTCTTCATGATCGCTGGGTGGTTAGCACTGATGGTAGTATTAGTCTGAGATCCAACAATCCCGCGCATGATTATTCTACGTCAAGCTGCATTGCTATTCCACGGCCGAAGATGATGCATCCTGCAGGCAGACACACGAACGCCAAGAGTTTGTCGGACGCCTGGCGACGCATTTCACAGGTTGCTTGAGGACAGGTTGGAACACCTATGTAGGGCCAGAGTAAATGGCCCTTCCCGCGATAACAGCAGAGCTTGCATTAGAAGGTTTAGGGACAGCCTCGTTTCCATGAACTATTGTAGTACGCCTGTAGTCGGGATGCCTGCTTTTGGGTGAGCCTCGCCAAAAGCCTTAATGCAAGTGAAACCGAGGAGGGCTGGGCAACTTGGAGCTAGACGTCATGGAAGAGCTCCAGTGCGCTGGCGACTGGTTGGAGACGGGCATCAGGGGCAAGCAGAAGCGCTAGCGCAGAGGCATCTGAAGCCGGAAGGCAGATCCAGGCGATGTGCAGAGCTGAAGATCTGAAATGCTGGAATTGCAGAGGCTTGGACAAGGGCTGTAGTGCTTACTTGAAAATGGGGAGAGGCGCGCATGAATAAGCGTCAGTTTTTGGCAGGTCAGGAAGAGCTGGTTCTTGAGCTGAAGACCGTTGACCTGAAGGTGAAGTGGTTGCAGGCAGAGCGATCATTTTCCTCCGGGAATTCCATGACCGTAATCGTTTAGGTGATGTCAACTCGGAGGAACACTAGTAGTCACAGTTTCCCAAATCCCGAGGTGTGAGATCTGTGCTGGTAAGCCTTGGACTTGTGAGACGCCAAGCTTCCTTTCGCGAGATTCCAAAGCCCAAAGCTTTTCCATTTGCCAAGCAAGCCGGAGACCAAAACACTCAGCCACCTATCGGCCCAGATTGGAGTCAAACAACGGTATTGCGGCATGGCATCCGACCCATGCAAACCGCATATGTCCTTCTGCAGAGGACGTTATGTCAACAGCCACCCCCGTGGACTCTGTAAGAGTTTGTACGATCATTATACAAAAAAATAATCGCAGTAATGAGACGTATCGTGTTGATGGCTACTACAAATTTTCCCTCTCGCGCAACTGCCTAGCATGAAGAACGCAGATACATCGGATAGGCGTGTTGCGAATTTTGATGGAATGAAATGTGAATGTCTCAGAATATGCCCGATGTAATTCATAAACTAGAATATCTCGATAGTGGCCCAAACACCTGGCAGGTCTCCAAGGCTTCTTTTGTGAGGAGCCCCACACCCCTAGACCCTAACCCCTAAATCCTTCTTCGGCAAGGCAGCTGGCCTTGGGAAGCAGGCTACTCAGACATTCGTGGTTTGCAGAAAACCGTGGACATCCAGCAGACCGCAGACATGCCATAGACATGAGGGCTTCCAGAAGCTCGGGTACCTTTTTGGGGGGGCTGTAGGGGTTATCCGCTTTGGGTTGGAAAGGAACCTATACTTTTTTTCGGAGTTAAGGGTCGCATTGTGATCCAAGTAAGGACGATTGTATTTTTGGGTATACAAGGGGAGCCCTACTGTCTCAGAAACATCCAAAACACCCGCATCAGAGGCAGTTGATCAGCCATGATGCCATGGCCATGATCATGCGCGCATATGCATAGTTAAGGCACAGTACTTGGAGGGTCGGGGTGACTTTGCAGGTCGAAAAGCAGCGGCTCTAAACTTTGAAAGCCATATAATGAGGATCCTAACTAGCCCCATTATTGAGCCCCTTACTGTCACCATGACACTGCAAGTGTGGATGAGAGCCAAAGGAGAAAACAAGAACAGCAATCTGAGACGGGACCAGTTGATTAATAGCTACTGGAATACAATCCATGGGTGTCCCTACTATATTAAGCTATTCTTAGTATTCTTAGTGATTAAGGTTCCGGTTCACATGTATCGCTCATGGGAGACCCCCACTGTTCGTTGCAGTTCGGCTCAGCCAGATTCGAAGCCGTGCGCATCCTTCAGCTTTCCAGTGCTCTCAACCATGTATCTCCTCTGCAGATGAGCAGTTCTTTCAATGTGAGCTTCGGGCTTCGTACAGAAAAGATACAGCCGGGCTGCATCATTCAAAAGAATGGGCGCCCTGGGCTTGTGCAATTCCTCAGTGAAACTTCTGGAATCATCGAGAATTGTATCTGACTTGCTTCAGGTTTGTGCGTTGAGGTTCTCAATTGCGAGGGTGGGGATACATAGCAAAGAGTCGCACTGAGAGCGGCACAGTCAAGTTCAAAGCAAAGGCTGAATAGTCACAGAACACTTGGGCACCACCTCTAGGCCTTTCCTGATGCGTGGCGTCA